ATTGGTTAGTGATTTTTAGGAATTGAACCAATACTTTGGGGGGGCGGGGAAGCCTGTTGAAGATGTTTCTGTGTGAGAACAGAGGGAACTTGATTTGGACACACTGCCGCTGCTGTATGGCAGTAATGGTTTCAATAACTGAAGTCTGGGCATACTAGTTAGAGCATTTGATTGTGAAGAAAAATATGACTACATAACTAGAGTATGAACAGCAGAGCAAGCCCCACCTGCAGTAGAGCTGAAACAGTAGTGTGCTGGGGTGTCAGCTGTGGGAACTCTTGCAGTGAAGGATGCTGCTAGCAGCGGATGTGACTTGCAAAATTTTCTGTAAATCCAGAATTGCCAGTATTTCTGAGTGGAAAAAAATCTCACCTGATGGAAAGAAAAAGTTGTGCCATTTTTTTTCTCCTGCTCTGCGAGTTATGCTGATCCTGGTGATAGGAGAGGATTGTGCTGTGTAGGGGAGGAGATAAGTATACCTCCAGATGGTGAGTGGGACCCCAATTATACTTAAAATTGCCTTAATCCAACCTAAACAAAGAGAGGGACATTTGTGCACATTTGCTCTGATGAGCTGTGCCAAAAGAATCATTGCTCTCTGGGGAGTTAGAGATCAGGCAAAATTCCGTATTTAAGCCATGTTGTGTGATCCAGAACTGAGGCTGATTACCTTGAGGTTTGTGGCCATTGACCTGAATCCCTGTACGACATTTTTGATGTGCCTTTTGGGCATGTGCCACAGCTGGTGTGGGATCTTGATTAAACACCACTTTCTAGGTTAGGCTGGTTAGCTGGTGAGCTTTGCCAAATAGAGTTCTGAATGAAGAACAATTTCTGCTTTTGGTTTAGTCCAGACAAGAATTGTAGATTCATCTTCCTTACCTTACTGCCAAATTTTCAGTAAGAATATTCCAGTCCTGCTCTGCCCCTGCCCCTTTTATTTGTAGTGTTGGTTTTGGTAGAAACTGACCAAAGAGTTTAAAAGTGCCTGAAATTTGAGAAAAAGGGGAGGAAGGAGCAGACAGGTAAATACTGAAAGCTATTATGTAAACCTCACTTCTGTGGGAAACTACACTGCAAACAGAACTTTGGTCTCAATTCAGTTTGGATCTGGTGGTTACAATTAAAGATTACCAGCAAATTGTATTTTCTCCTGTTGTACTCTGCAAATGGTCAAAGTCTACAAGTGATGGTTTGTATTTTTTTTTTTGTAAAACAGTAAGCGCAATCTGTGAATTGGCTAACGCACTAAAATGGGTTGGGGGTGATAGTTGTTATCATATAAAGTAGGAAACAGCAGGATGAAGAGCCTGTCCATAACATGCTTTTCAAAGAAAGTGGGATAAGGCTGCAACAGACTAGATAACCCCCAAGTAATCTGTTGCACTGTCTTTCTCTTGTATAATCCTTGAGTGTCCCTGTATAAACGAAGCAGTAAAAAACCCAAAAGAAAAAAGGTGTTTAGAAAGGGATGTGGGTCTCATTTGTAGTGTTCATTTGATCAGATGCTCCTGGAGGGTGAGGGTGGCTATCAAATGGATTAGTTAGCGCAGTGTCACAAAAGGAGTGCTGAAGGAAGTGGTCGTGGAGACCCTTGAGATTTGCTGAGCTTCCTTAACAGGGAAGCAGATTCAGGACACTAAGGATAGACAGAAAGCAGAGAAAGAAGGAACAGATCCTCTTACCTTCTCATCTCTTTCTCAGGTGTCTCACTGCCTTCTTTCTTCCCTGCTTTTTGAATTTGCCGTCTTGGTAGGAGAACTGAAAGAATACTAATCCAACAGTAACTGCATGTTTCTAGCATGCAGGAGGAATATAGCTCAGGAGAAGTGAGTGTCTGAAGGTTGCTGTATAGCCAGTAAGTGCAATGTCCTAGCACATGGTAGAGGGAAGCAGAGTCCTTATTTTTGTCTGAATATGTGCCACAAGCATGTATGTTTCATGCTGTCATTCCCAATTAGCTGCTCTTTTGAGTAACATCTGCCTTTTATCCATATCAAAGTGCTGAGTGAGGTTAGTAAAGATGATGTGTACCATAACGATCCTGGCTCTAAGAAGCAGCAGAATTAGATTCATGGGCTATCAATGAATGTTAGCTTTCTCATATCAGTTGAATTTCTGTTGTTAATTTGTTGTTAAAACTGTTGCTACCTCTTGCCCAAGGCGTAGTCAAACAAGACACTACTGTAGAGTCCTCTGATTATATACAAAAGCATGCTGGTTTAATGTGTCTGTATTTGGATAGCTAATATTTGGTTTGGCTGTAGATTTACAGTGACATTGTCCTCTCTAGCAGATGTGCTGTGTGTTTTGTTTTCTAGGTAGTTATCACAGATTTAAGTCTTCTGTGCTTCAATAAGTTCTTGACACAGGCAGTGGAAACTAATAGTAATATTAAAAACATCAAGTGTAATATGTTGGACCAGAGCAACTTTTCATCCAAAGACCAAGCCAAGGCCAGTAGTGTTCCCATCTTTCAGAAAAACTAATCTTAGAGAATCTCTATGTGATTCAGACAGCAAAACTGGTGGCACAGAGTGAGTCTGAAACACAGCTCTGCCTCAGAGGAAAAGCATAGCAGTGGTTTACTCTGATTAATGTAGACACTTATTTTAAGAAGGGTAAGTTACATCATCAGCAATAAAGAGGTCTTGATGAACTTTATAGGCAGTAGAAGACCACTTCATACAAGTCATCCATAATTTTGTCTATACAGGCCTTTTCTGTGCTAGATTTTTGTTCATCTGCCATGGCTCAGGATAATGTATCATGTTAGATGCTTTCCATCTGTATGTTTGAATATTCTTATTTGGTGAAAGAGGCTTCTTGCTACAACTGGAATTAAGATCATGTATATTTAAATTTCTTGCAAATGCATTTCTCTTAATACAAAGATTATATGACAGCAGTAGGGAAGGTATGTTCCTAGTCTTTCTGTGTTACTTTTCTAATTTTTCTTTAAACTTGTCTTTGGACTTAAAAATATCACTGCTGCTTTCCAGAAATGAAACTTCATTACATTGTAAATATTACCTTTTTACTTTTGATTTTGGACTGTGACAGTGATAAAGTGAATTGAGTCAGTATCCCCTTGTTGTCTTCTGCTTTCACTCCACTCACAGCCCCGGTAAACTTCACATGGATGAAGTCACATATATAAAGCTATATATTTATTTACATATGTGTGCATGCATGATAGTAAACCAGAAGTGTCAGAAATCTTGGCCTGTGTTACAGTTGATGGTTCAATTTCTTCTGGTCCCTTCTACTTCCATATTTTATTGTCAAATCATTTAGTATGACAAACAGGTTCTTGCCAAGAAAGACCTAGAAGTCTACTTTGGCAGAAGTGGTGTCTCTGCTTAAGCTGAATTTACAGAAAAGTCAGCATGGTGACTTTGCCTGTCAATATCGCCGATTGACCTAATGTGAAGGTATGTGGTTTGTGACTACTTTTCTTGCACGTGTTATTACTGTGTCTGAAGTCCTGATATACCAGGTCAATCTTGTTACTGCACAAACACACAAAAAACTAAACTCTAAGCTAGCATCAGAACGTGTGTAATTTCTTCTGTAAGTGAAAATGTTACTTGGCAGTTGATGCTTTGCCATGTTTCTTCTGCTTTGATATTCTCAGAACAGATACGTGTAGAGACATAACTGAGTCCCATCTATCAGTCTGAATGAGAAGACACGCTGCCCTTGTCTTTCTGTCTGCAGCTGGACTGTAAGAGAGCGAATGTTGCTTAGAGCAGCATGAAATTTCACACTCTGCCTAGCCTAAAAGAGAGCGTCCACAGGGTACAGTTGGGGGTACAGGGTCCTGCTTAGTGGTCTCATCCTCTGGGTTTAGGCTGCCCTCTCCGTGCACCTGATAAAGCACTCTAGAAACAGACACGATTACATGCATTAATTGAAAGGCAAAGAGCTAAGATCTCTGTTACCTGAAAACACAGTTGTTTTAAACCAACTTTATTTTACTAGTATATGGATTTTCTTCAAAAAAAAAATAAAAAAAATAAAGTGTGTTCTTAATCCGAGTGCAGGGATTGCGGTATGAGTGGTTGTCATACTTAGGACATTTTTATTTAAAAGAAAAACTCGTGTCCTAACATGTAAGAACAATGTATTGATACATTGCAAAGGCAGCTGCAGTTGTGATAACCATGGTTTTATTTGTTTTTATGGTATACTAAAGACTGAGGTGAAAGTCTTTGGCAGTAGAATGATTCAGTACTGATTTCCTATTGATGTGGTGGATACCTGTCTTCTATTTTCAAGGTCTGTTTTATCAGTTCTGGCAAATACAAATTTGGCAGATATGTGGGTTGCAAATTCACACTGATGTTTCTGGAGATAACCTTAGAAAAAGAGGAGGTTCCTTACTGTTTTAATTTTCAGACAGAAGTGCGTCTGCAGTGGGTTTGTCCTTGTCTACAAACAGTCCGAAGCTAACAGCAAGCACATGTCACATTTTGGGATATCTGTTCAGAACCATGAATGCTGTAAACATACTTCAAGATTTGAAGCCTTACCACTTTACCTGGGTGTCTTACAAGCTGTGCATTTGACAAACAGATCTTGTGGGAAACTTTGTGCTACCATGTGTATGAATGCCTTTTTAAAAAACAAACAAACAAAAAACCAGCAACCCTGAGACTGAGGGCCTGATCTTAAGTACATTACAAAGTACAAATACTTCAATATTTGATGATGAGCAGTGGGAATTGTTAGTGTGCTGTGTGTCTATAATGCTGCTTGGTGAGCTGCTTGCTAAGCTGCAACATGAAGTGCTATAGGAATAGAGTAGTAAAAGGACTGCAGAAGAGTATTTCTTTAATGAAAAAATGTATCTAAAATGAAATATCAGGGAACCAGTCCACTTGTTGCTAAATGAATTAAAGTTTTTATGGCTAACAGTTTTATGTGCATCATTGTTATGCCTGTGATGGAGTGTAATAATTTCAGACTGTTTCCCTGCCTTTCCCTGTGTCTTGCAGGCATACAGGAGTTTCCAGAAAATATAAAAAACTGTAAAGTCTTGACAGTTGTTGAGGCCAGTGTAAATCCAATTTCAAAGTAAGTTTGTCATTTTTTGGATGGCTTATATTTTGTGTAAACACTGCTGAGTCTCAGACTTGCTGCAGACATGCTCCAAGCCTGGGAGGGAAGGAGCACAGTTACCTGAGAAGTATCTTAGTTAACCTCGTTGCACTGTGATACAGTATAGCTATGTCATTATGGTATTTTGCCCAAGTTAATAGGGTATGTAGGTAATCCTGCATTGCACCACATGTCTTTCTCAGCTTTTCAAAGTCCATCATTTCTCTGTGATAACAGAGAAATATGCAAACACTTTTTTTTCTTAAGAACAATAATTTTACTCCAAAGCCTGTACCACTGTTTTTCAAACTTAGTTGATGTGAGTAGATTTCACTGTCACCTTCTGTGGTGACAAAATTAATTTGCCAGAAGTAGCACTGCTGGTCATATAAACTTCATGCAGTGTAACTCTTCTGAGGAAAAAAAGTCTTGCGTAGGTTTTAATTTATCTTATCAGGTGTCAGGACATCACAAATACGTAGCAAGGCTACATTTATTGTGTGTAGTTTCTATTGCCTTTAGATATTGTCATCAATACATAAAAATAATTTTGAAACTAATCTGACAGATCAAGTATCTAGTGCAATTTTGTAGAAATTCTAGTACCACCTTCATTTCAATGTTATCAGTATTTAGGACTTCAATGCTATACTGATGTTTAAGAAAATATGACTTAATTGAAACAAAGGCACTACATTATTTTATTTCTATATAGGCTTCCAGATGGATTTTCCCAACTGTTAAACCTAACACAGCTGTACCTGAATGATGCTTTTCTTGAGTTTTTGCCAGCCAACTTTGGCAGGTAAGTTGAATTTGAAACTTAGTATCTACATTTAGTTTTAAATTTATGCAGACCAGTTTCTGCTGCTTCTCCAGCAAAATGTGAACTCGAGGGGAGGAAGTATGCCTTACCAATCCATTTATGCTGCATTTAATTACAGAAAAAAACCCTGAATCTTTATTGCCTTTTTTAGTTGGACTTTTGAAGGACACACACAATGCTTATAAAGAGCTGAGAAATAAGACTCATTTTTGTACTTGCTGCTTTTACAACACAACTCTAGTAAGTACACAAGACAATAGTTCTGAAATACGGGTTGGTTAACATTTAGTAATTGGAGTGAAGCAAATAATGACATTTGTAATTCCAGTTGTCTTTTCTGGATGCACAAATTCCTTCATGCACGTCTGTAATTCTGAATTGCCTTGTCAGGAATTTTTCTGAACGACTTAGCATATTTACAGTGTGCAGTCTAAGCAGAATTGTTCCACATAGTGGCTTAAATAAAAAACAAATACCAAACCCCTACCACTTCATAATGGATTAAATCTTGCAACCAAAAGTGAATGGAAGAGTCCTAGGTGAGCGTAGTTAATCCTATTCTCTGTATCATGCTGATGTAGCCATTTCTGCTCTTTTTCCCTCTCTTCACTCTTACTTCACACTCTCTTTTCCTTGATTGTCACTCTCCTACCCTATCCCAAGTCCAACAAGCCTCTTTTTCAGGAAATACGGCTATTAGTTAACAAGGCATATTGCTGTGTGGAAGCAATTGCCTTAGGCTGTATGGTTATAGTTGGGTCAGCACAGTTTGCAAGAGATTAGAAAAGCCCCCAAATGGAGGGCTGCAGAAGTTTGGCAGATCAGGAGATGTACAATGAAAGAAGAGCACAGGTGCAGTCCATTAAGGACCATTAGTCATCTGTGGTCAGAGTCGTTGTCCTGTTCTTTTCTGTCCAGTTACTAGTAATTCCTTGCTGAATGATTAAAGGCAGCAGATATGTTACATGCTCAGCTAACAATAAAGCTGCTTATGATGGAGGAGCATTAATTATCATGCTTGTTTCTAATATACAAAGTTTGTGTTTCAACAAAGTTTGTTAAGGTTGAAGATGAAGTATCTGGAAGACACATATTCTTTACTTGTTGGTGCATTTTAATGATTGCCTATACATTTTTCTGTTCTGTTTTTGAATAGTCTAACCAAATGGCAAGGTTTTCTTAGTAAAAAAACTAGCAATACAGATGAGATGTAAGACTAATCATATCAACATGAAGTCTTCAAAGTAGTTAATCTTGCCAGTAGTTTAAAAAAGCCTCATTATAATTTTTTCTTCATCAGTGTCAACTTCTGTAGTGCTTAATGGTTAGCGAAATGGTGAAGTCATTAATTGCTAACAGCTTAAGAATAAATTGATTACTGATGGCAACTTGAAAGCCAGTTCTCCAATGTAGTGTTTCTCTTAATAGCTATGAAAAATTCAGCCCCGTTTTTAAAATATCAGTAGTGGCTTGCAGCATCCTAGCTTGAAGCTGAGAGAATGAAACTGAAAGTAAGACTTTACTCATCAGCTGTTTTTAAATGAATTCAAAGTATTTATGTAAGTTTACCTGCTTATAATGGTATTGCACAGAATAAATGCTATTCTATGGGAAAATAATATTTAGATCAAATAAATTAAAAAATAATGAATTGGCAAAATGTTCTTTTAAAGGGAGGTTCAGACCCCTTTGACATTGAGTACATCTGTTCTGTAAGTGATCAGGCTGCTCTGCCACCCCACAACTTTACAACTAGGTATAAACACATGCTAGTGCAAACGATCTTTCTAACGTGCGCTTTAGGATATGGGATAACTTTTTTTAAAAAGAAACAAACAAAAAAGCTGTGGTAGAAGCTTTTGGGATATTTAGAACATTGTTGGTTAATTTCCTAAAGCACAAGCCTTGAACTTCTTCCAGTTTGGTGCATTAGTTGTTTTGTGTATGGCCTTATAGCTATTCCTTTTCATTACATGCAAAGGCATGAAGTAACTGAGTTCTGTTGCCTGCTCTTACTGGCACCTGTAGGCAATAATGCCTTCTAAAAACTAAGCCAATGCTATATTAAAGATAGAAAGGTTTTTATACTCCATGTATCAGGGTCTCTGTTCCAGCAGTTTAGATTAGAAACCTGATTTCCCACATCAGTTTCTCTCTGACTGTTCATATTCATTTGTTCGACACTTGAATTGCTATTGTCTCCCATAGGTGATGTCCCCTGTTCTCTCACCTGCTGTTTTTATAGTGTTCTCATAGCCCTCTCTTAGTTTCTTAGACTAAACAAAATTCTGTTTCCCTGTGGTATGGCAGGTTTTCCTTTGTATCTGGTGATATTAACGTATCTTGGAATGAGTTTCAGTTTGAATTAATTTTCTTCTTTTTGACAGAGGGTGACATGTGTAGCTATCTTTAGAATTCAAACGGAGATCTCTTCATGTCTTGTACAGTGTTGTGATTATCTTCTTGTTTCTCTTGAAAATGTCTGTGGTTATGCTCTAGTGTTCCAGTAACCCTTTTTGCAGCTGCTTAGTGTCATTTACCGCATGATTGACTAATGCATTGGACAGCTCAGCTAGAAGTGGCTGATGACTCTGTAAGGAAATTGAGTGCTTTACTTGGTGCTGTCGCATCTTGTCCCTTTGCTATTTTTTTCAGTCCTTAAGCTTGTACAGTTGTTTTTCTGTAGAGTCCTAATAATTCATTGTATTGTTTGTGATGGTGTTCTGTGGCACCTGCCAACTTTAACATTTTACCTACGCTTTATAATTGCTGTTAAAAAGTATTGAACAGCATAGGCCCAAAATGGGTTTTTGAGCACCCCTGTCAGTAACATTCAGCCTGCTGCTTAGGGAAGAAATCTTTGTGTAATGCAAACTACTTTTTAAATATTCACACGGAGTTTTATTACATTTACATCCATGCTTTATTCTCACCTTCCAAATTTGTGCTAAAGCTTTGCATACTATTGAGGTCAAGATTATCCAATCATTTTTCCCCTTCTTTATGAGTATTACATAGTTGCTGTCCTTCAGCAATGTTGTACAGGTCCAGCCTGTTAGACTTACTACAAGTCACCAGACTTTTGATTAAATGTGCCAGTTCCTTTGGAATTCTGAGGTCATAAAGTGGGTTTTTTTCTTCCACTCCCAAATTCTAATTTGAGTGCATTAATAATGGCACAGATCCCAGAGTTAGCCTTTATGCCAGTGCACAGAAATCTGACAATTGCTTATGCTTACCTAAGAAAATGGTATCTGTTGTATGTAAATACATCATGTATATTTACATTTAAATATAGAAAAAAATAAGCAGAGCATTCTAAACTTGAAGCTCACTGCATGCTAATTTTGAGAAAGGGCTTTAAAAGGGAATCATTATTTACTGATGGATGTTTAAGATAAGCCCAGAGTTTATATTCAGTGTCATTAGAAAAATTCTGAGAATGTTGTATATAATGGGGTATTGCGTCCAGAGACTTTTTACTGTGATGTTGCAATGAATTTAATTTTATTTGTCTTTTTCAACAATTTGCCAGTAGTATTAGCAGTAGTAGGTCTTTTTAGTAGTATCTACTTGGGGATAATTTTTTACATAAATGTACAGTGCTAATCAAATTTGGGACTTAATGCAACCTGTTGTAGGATACATACATTTCAGTCCTCTTGCCTTTGCATTTTAGTTACAAATTAAGAAAAAATATTCTGCATTAGCAAAACTGCAAAGGAGGTGGAAAATAAAGAACATCTCTCTATGAAAGATTTTTAGCTTTCCAAGGAATGACTGCTATTGAACAGTGAGTTTTTAAGTATACATGCTATGCATTTCTTTCATGTTTTTTACAGAATGTGTATTTAAAGAAATCAGATTTAGGAGGAGTATTGATCTTATCCTGGCAAGGTGTTCATGTAGAGATTTTGTTTTACTTAGAAGTTGAGCTAGATTTTAAAAGCAGGGAAAGTTGGTTACATTAAATAACAATACTGCAACAATAATTTTGCTGAGACTGTTACACCAGGCATACTTAAAGTTTAGTAATACTCTGTTACAGCTTTGTGTTTGGGTGATGTGTAAATATTTCTGTGGTGATGGGTTTTTACGTTTGAGAAATATTTCTCTATGAGTAGAATGGCACAGGAAATACATATTCTGCCACTATGACTTCTATTTTTCCTTTAGTATAGGTGGACTCTGTCTTTATTTCTTTTCCAAATTAAACCCCAGGTTTTCAGTTCCATTATAGCAGTTCAGATGCGTAGCATGAGTGTTTACACCAGCAATTTAAAGAGCAGCTAGGCTGAGTGTTTGATGTGCACTATTATATTAAACTTTAATTAACTCTTACAGTCATAATGGAAGAAGTGACAACTGCTTCAGTCCAATATTTCTCATCAATTGCTGCAAGAAAATTACTAGTTTAGACACAGCCTGTATCTGCCAGCCAAGAGAGTTGAAGAGGTTTCCCTGGTAGCCTCTGCGTAACTCTCTACACGTGAGAAATTTGATATTTGTGTCTCCAGTTTCTTAGGGTTAGCTGAGAGAAGAGTAGAATATGAAACAAGGTTACAAAGCTGTGAACCTTTCTGTTGCCAAAGCCAATCTTTGAGTTCACAGAATTAGCTTGTTGGAAGTGTAGTACAGTCAGTTCTGGCTAAAGTCAACAAAGTGTAGGAGTGCCTACATATAGTTTAGCATATGAATGGGGGTTTGCTTCTACTGCTTTCAAGTGAGACATTTGACTGTATATCGGTGTTGTGAAGAAAAGCTATGAACTGTGTAGCTATTTTTCCTGTCATCGAAGCAAAGCACCAATTGGAGCCTAATGCAGTGTTTGGCTTATTCTTGTGTTCGGAAGTCCAAGCCCAAAATGACCACTCAACTCTTAAACAGAAGATGCTTAAACAAACAAGTTCTGTTTCAGCACAGAGGGGTATCTTAGGATGCAGGTAGGCTGGGAAGGCTAGGGAGTCCTCTCCAGTTATATCCTAGATTGACAGCAGTGATATTACCATGAACTGTATTTTTATTAGGGTATTCCTTGAATGATGTTAGAGTATTGGTTTTTCTTTGAGAAGCTGGGGGAGGCGGTTCCTCTCCAGCAATTCTGCCAGATGGCAAGTACTGCTTGCAGTGCTTGGCTATGATGACCTCGACTCTGTTTCAAGGTGACTGTTATATTCTTAGGTTATTCGTAGGCGTGGCAGATTGCTACTTTCAAATGCATCCAAAAATGAGCAAATGTCTAGAGGAAAAAGAAATACTGTTTTCAGCTTTCTATTTTTACTCTAAGTATAGTTCTTACTACTTAATCAGAATTCACGTTTTTGTAACTGTCCTTACAACTTTCTCAGCTGATTACCTTCATGAAAGATCGGTCTGTTTACTAAGATCTTTTTTTCAGTTATGGAACTTAATGCCCTATTTTATGTTGTATGAGGTCTGTTAGTGGGTCACATGTAGAACTCTTGTCTTTACAACCGTGTCTGTATTTAAATCAAACTCAGTTTCTGCACTACTTAACAAAGAGATAGTCTTGTCACAGCAATCCTGATGCAGAAAATTCCTCTCGGGATGGTACATTGCTTGAATGTCAAGACTGCTTTGAACTTATCTTGGCCAAGCAGTTGAGTTTGGGATTTAGAGGTTATTTATCTTGCAACTAAGGAATTACTGAAAGAAAGGTCAAAGTGCCTTCCAATAGAAATACCAAAATGGATTAAAAAGCTGACTAGAAGGAGAATGTGGAAGGAAATCCAAGATGAATTTAAACGTTGTTTTTACCTTGTGCAAGACCACAGATACTCCTCTCATGAGGCTTTTTATATGAAGTGGTTTGATACATTGCCAGTATTAGAAATTCAGCATCTTAACTTGAGTGGACTGATCGTACCTTTCTCATATTAATTCCTGTGTACTTCTGTATATGAAGGTAACATGTACCCATAATGAATCCAATGAAGTGCAATAAAATCTTTGGGATGAAGGAAGACAAATGTGTTCAAAGAGGTGCAGAAGAGCAGGCAAGATCTAGTTTGTTTGCTGCTTTACCAAAATCAAACCCTAATGAATAAATGAATTTAAAATAACATGCAGATTTATGCACAGAACATATTTGTATTATTACAGAAAAAAATACTTCAAACTTGCAGATCTTTTTTTTGAAATTCAGCAATATAAAGAAGATCAGAGATTACTTTTGTTGTAAAATACAGTATATTGTGATAATTTGTTATGCCTTTCTGTTACAGATTAATTAAACTCCAGATATTGGAGCTTAGAGAAAACCAGTTAAAAATATTGCCAAAGTAAGTATGGATGACGTTTATTTCAACTACTTGGGAGGGTTTGTGTGTAGTTCTGCTAATAGTGGAATGCATATTGAAAGGTAGATCGCAGTTTTAAATGTGTGGCTAAGTAACTGGACTGAGTTCTCACAGGGAACTTTCCATTCATACTGCTGAAATTGTATCTCCTTTCAGACTGACTGGTCTGCCTTTTCAGAGATACTTCTTTTTTTCCTGTCCCCATCCAGCTCTGTGGATTTCTGATCCACCTGTTGAGCTTTTAAGTCAGCATGCGGGCACTTCGGGTGATCGTTCTGAGATGTCTGATGTTTCTTGGGCGCAGTGTTGTATGGCTGCCCAGATGTCTGTCTAGATACCATTCTGATGGCTGTCTGAGACGTAGGCATTGGTAATTAAGATGGTTATCTCTAAATCTGATGTCAAGTTTGAGATGCCTGCTCAGAATTACTGAGGGAATGCAGTTCATGTGACTTGAAGATTTTTTGTTTAATATACTTCAGGGCTGAAGAAAGTAACAACTCATTACTGTGTTGAATGGGATCTGTTATGCCCTACCTATTCTGTAATGCAACTGGTTTGCTTGACATAATCGCGGGATATTCCTCAGACATGTTTTCTGTGATTAGTAAAATAGTTCTGGAAATTATTACGGTGTTTGTTTTAGTAGTAAATGCAATTGTACCTCTCAAAATCTCGCATCTTTCTGACCCTGCCTTGTAAGTCTCACTCATTTTGTCAAACCAGCCTGGGTGGATAGTGTGCCGGTTCCTCCTGTTTCTGAGCTAGAGCAGTGCTCTGAATTTTCTGACTTAGACCCTGGAGGTCAAAGTGGATTAGCAGAGGTGTAACAGGTCACTGAAAAAAGAAACATAGATCCCAAAGACGCAGTGTGAATAGCCAGGTGTAGAGTCCTGAATATCTTGTAGTTGGCTGTAAAAGGGGTCTTCCTCTGGCAACAGAAGCTGCTAAAGAGAGGTACTGCTTTTGGTGGATGTAACATGTTTTGGTGGAGAAGAGGAGGAGCTAACAATTGAGTATTCACACTGTGCAGCTCATACGCTGGCAGAGACTTGCATGCAGTAGGCTGAAGTGTGAATTTCCAGCCCCTGAAGTACAACAGCCAGTTTTCTTAGTGACTGCAGTGAATTATATGCCTAAGACATGACCAAGGGGTAAGTTCCATTGGAATTCCCATTTTGTGTGTCTAGATACTGAACTGTGGTGTCTGCTGTATAAAGATTCCAAAACTCATATCTGGAATGAAATGTACAGCATCAGAATGTGTGATTTTAAATCTTCCAAGCGTGAAGCATTTTACTCGTTCAAGTGATATAAATACTCTCTATCCTCCTTCGCCCTTTCTGCTATTACTAATTTTCAGTAGAAAAAAATTAGAGGACACGTAATTTGGGGTAGCAGCTCTGTAAATTAAGTTACTTCCAACTGAGGAACGGTAGCTATAATTAAAACTTACAGCTAACACAGATTTTGTTTATAAAATTACTCTGACTTTAATTGCTATAATTAATTGCACAAGTTACGTACGATATTTTTTAAAAAGTAGTTTACAGAGGTCAGTTGTGGTGATAAGACATATTTAAACAAATGTTGTAATGTATTTAAGCCAAACACAACTTCTGTTGAAGTTGCTGGCCTTTTTTTTTTTTTTTTTTTTTTACTTGAGTGTTTTCAGCATTTTCTGGAAAAATAAGCAGCAGCTGCCATGCGGATATCCTCTGCAGTACATCCATAGTGATCTACAGTATATGCTGAGATGCCACCTTTGTTACTCTCTTCTGGTACTCCTGTTGCTCAATTAAGAGAGACTAAAGCTATTGAGATTTTTTTTTTAATGTAACCACATTGATACGCATTTTGCTACAGTGCAAACATAAATGGCACACGTAGTTTATGTATGATGTACACTGGAGAGAAGAATTCATTGTAGGGTCTGTAGTATGCAAGAGATGAATCTGCCTTTTAGGATAATACAACTGTGCAGCAGTTGACCTAGCCAACAGAGGCATCCATGGCCTGGTTTTAACTGTTATGTCAGAGTAAAAGCTAATGCGAAATTCAAACTTACAGTTTTCCAGACCTAAGTACATGTTTTGAAAGGAACATGCTAAACACCTTTAAACAGTGTAGAAAATCCAAGGGGTTTCTTTTGAAGCTAACAAGATGTAGCAATGTGTGCTAATATTTTTGCTGTAGAACACCACTATCTTTTCTCGTTTCTCTGTCACTCTCACCTTTTTAATATTTTCATACTTACAGCAAATTCTTTCATATTTGTAATGTGAAATACATTTGGATAAATTTCTACAAAATCAGCTAGTCCTTTTGCTGAATTAATCATGCACATAATTTTTAATGCTAAAGCATAAAGCACTTGAAAGATTATTAAGCAAAATGATTAATTAATACCAATGCACTAAATCAACTTTTCTTTTTTGCCAAATGCATCATTTTGCTTGGACCTTACCCACAGTCAGAGACTGCAAAACTGGCAGTATTATAATGCAGACCAGCTCAGTGAAAATATTTCTACTGAAAGCAAAGCAAAAATACACAGACACTATTTGTGATAGGTGGCATAGTTGGGAAAATGGTCCAATGAAAATAAAAAAAGTTTAACGTTGATTTTTTTTTTTAAGCTTCCGTCTGTTGCCTACTTGTCAGTATAAAGAGTAACCTTTTTAGAAAGAAACAAGTCATCTGAGAGTGTAATTATGATGATTCAGAGCCCAATCTTGCTATCATGTGCACCTTTTGAATTATGTGCTATTTGAAGTAAGCTGTAGTGTTAACCTTGGTGAAGCAGACTATTCACATCAGAATCTGAGGCATAATTTAGACTACCTGATCCTTTAGTGTTGTATTGATTTGGCAGCAAGTTCAATAATATGAACTATGAAACAGATTTTCCATTTATGGAAAGGATTACATAGCGCCGTGGCAGAGACAGAAGTAGGTGTAACTCAGTGATCTGTTAACTTTTTGTTTCCAGTCCTGTATTCTTCTTTCTTTAGCACTGAATTTACCTGTTACTTTAACATTGTTGGAAGCTTTGTTTGCATTTTCTGTGAAGGTGTAGTTGCTCTATGAACAATATAGAAATGCAAAAAAATACTAGTCATAGAATAGCTGAAAGTGCTATAGATTAGGCAGGCAGTGGGGAAGGGAAGGAAAAAACTGAGGCCCTCGTCTTGCAAACACATTTGTGTATGTTTTACTAATTACAGACATTTTTGGCAAGAAGAAAAAGGGACTCCAAATCTCTACTGTATTACCCTGTCAAAGTTACATAGCATTAATTTTGCAGATACTTGAGAGAGATTTGCAGATAGTTGCTGTCCTTCCAAATGATGACCTTTGATGAAAAACTGTAGCAGAAGTACTTCCCCCTTCCCCCATAAGACAGTGAAGATTAGGGCAAGAAGGGCAACTTTGCATGGCCTTAGAGCCACTAAAGACATAGCACTAGCAGGATGGGAAGGAAGCACCTAGATCTTGGGTTGGACTGAACTGGAATTTGTGTATCTAGTGTAATTTGGCAGCAGGAAGGAGAGAAGCTTTCTTACTTAGTTGCTGTGAATATCTTATTAGCTGTGTAAACAGTTTGGCCTCGGAGTTGAATGGTGCACAGGAGGAACGAAGAAAAAAAAATCACTCAGACCTTGGAGAGTGTTGGTCTAGGAGATTTTTTTGTGCGTGTGTCTTTACAAAACCAGGAAAATAAAAAGAGAAGAGTTCATGTTGAACTGAAAGAAAAAACTCCACTCATCTCAAGCTGCTGTAAAAAACCCTGTCCAACTTTGTTTCAGTTCAGCTTAATCAAAATTCACTTAGATTTAACTTCTTTCATTTTGTTAGTGTTACCTGTTTTTCTCTTAACTTTTAAATTTGTGTTTATTTCTAAGCTGAAAATTCAGTTCCAATAAAAATCAAGGCACTGTCTTAAAAATGTTGAAAGTACTGTAAAAATGTTAAAATAAACCATTTTTTTCAAATAATCATTTATTGAAACTAATGTATCAAATTCAATCCCACACAGCTGTGATCTCCCTTAATCTACTTTTTGATGAAAATAAATTTTTGGCTGAAATTTAGATAATCAGTGGGGTTTTGAACTGCTCTCTCCAGTAGCCCACAGTCTAGCTGGCATGGCTTGAAAACAGAAGAAATCTAAAACATTTTAAAATTGAAGCCACCAGTAAAAGTACAGTAAGGTGTTGCCCATGAAGTTTTGAAAGCTGCAGAATGGTATGCTAGATCCTTTGAGTGAGTCTTCAGCTGTGCTTCTGGGACATGCATTGGGGCAAATTTGTTAGCAACATATGGCACTAAAATTGGTATTGGCATGGTCTCATAAAGCTTTGAGAAATTCAGCTTATGCAGTATTTCAAAGGAACTTAGGTAATTTATGTTAGAAGCTGAAAATTAATTTTAGCAGTTGGCTTGCAAATAATCATGCTGTCCATGAGCTTCAAGAAATAAGGCAAAATGTTTCTCATGTTCTACTGGAAGTAGGCTTTTCGTGTATTTTTTTCTTTGTATTCTTTGGTACAGTAGGAATGTGAGTTCAAGACTTTCCCCTAAAGCCTGTGTATATTATGTGTGCAGTGCAGAAAATGGCTTCTGCTTTTGTCTTGATCATGTCTTTACCTACTTATGCTAAATTCCTTATTTGTCCCCAGCATAATTACTATAATGTAATGAAAATCAAGTCTATTGACAAATGTTGAGTGTAATCCTTTTTGGAGATTATTTAATGAATAACAGTAATAATAATGTTAACTGACTTCCAGTAAATAAGGCATTTTTCAATAGAATGTGATTTCTAACTGTATATTCAGAGCAACTGTAATAGTGTATTTGAAGAATAACTGAAACTTTTAATATCTGCATAGTCTTGTGCTCATGCAGATGTTTTTTAAAGATATTAATGTTCATACATATATTTTGATAATATAAAAGACTACCATTTAGAAGCTCTTATGTTTAGTTTTTCCAGAATTTTGTAGTATGTACACACAGTTTCTGTTTGAAAGTTTTAGACATTATTAATTGTTCTAAGGAAAGCTATTATTAAATACAATGTCATATGAGTGATATGCAGCCCATTTGAAAATATTTTTAGGTAGTACTGCTGTTGAGTGGAGTACTGATCATGTAGACCACCACCATGTGCAGTGGTAGACAATCTCTATGGATTGCCCAAGGTAAACTTTAATGGAGGAAAAATTTTCCCAAAACACAGCTTGAAATAGTGGATTTTACTTTATTTCAGTCATTGATTTAATATTTGCCATATGTTGACTTAAAGAGTATTGATGCATCACAAAATCCAGTTCAATAATCTGATTTGTTGTAGGTCTAAAGGAATAATTAGGATTCCAGACCATATCATATGGAAGCAACTTTGTCAGCAGCCTGGAGACAGAGACAGGTGTTGCCGGTTACTGTGATTCAACAGTGGTCTTTTCTGTTTTAGCTGATCATTAGGCAGTGGTCTTTCTTTGGGAGGCAAAATTATACCTGACCAGCCTTTGGCTGCTGAGAGGACTTTCTGTGACTGTAGGTGAAAAGCTGAAGCACTCAAAAGAAGGGTAACTTCAGAGTTACTCTTTGTCATAAAGACCACTCTCAGTGGTCTTCGGTTTTTGTAAACTGATCTGTAGGTGAGTTGCAGCCCACTCTTTGTGTGAAAGTCACAGTCAGCATGACCATTATGTGCAAGGTTGAACAAAGTGTGAAAATTTGAACTTATTTAGATATCAGTTACAGAACAGCATCCCTACTTAATATTGATTAAAATAATATATTTATATGAATACAGAAAGATTGGATGTAAATGGTATTTTCTTAAATCTAATTCCTTATTAATCCTCTTCCTATGCAGAACCATGTCCAGACTGACTCAGCTGGAGAGACTGGACTTAGGAAGTAATGAATTCACAGAAGTGGTAAGTTTTGCCTTAGTAACATCTCTTTGTATCTTTTATAAATCTCTTTATCCTTTAATCTATTTTTAATTAATATGAAGATGTAAAATGATATCAGCTTATGAATTCTGCTACAGAGCAAATATTAGGTATACCTCAAACTACTTTATGGAGGCTGTTATAAATATTGTGTGCATATTCTGATGAATATGAGTATATGCTTCCTCAGTCTGAGAACACTCAGTGGTATAGTGTGGTTACTGTACTGGTAAGAAATTAATGGTCATATGTGTTTGAATTATAAACATAATTGTTTGGCATATGATAAATTCTAAACACTTGTTGATTATCACGTATTTAATATTGCAAGTTCTCTGTGATCTGTGCACAATCTGCTTTTATTATTATGTACAAACTATTTAGATCCAAAGTAAATTGTGTTAATTTTAAGATTGAATATTGTTCAAAATAGTATTTACAGTTGAGGTGCTCAGATTTTTCCTTCAGCATGGATCAACTTGTTTCCCATTCATGGTCTCACAGACAAATACATCTTACATTCACAATCACTTAACATCACTCTGCTTGTAAAGTACTTTCCTGGGTGAAGGAATTGAAACACAAGTATAGTGGAATATACTGACCTGCTGTACCATAAAGTCAAGCCTTTATGTGCCACCAGTAGATAATGCAGAGCTGAACAGTTGCCTAGTTGTATGGTTTAGCAGATAGGGAACTGCATTGAAGGAATTGTTTGTTAGTATTATTACACTTCTAGCCATTACCATTACTGCCATATTCTCATTACAGAGTAGATATTCGTGTGGGAGCCTTAAAATAACGTGCTCAGGCCCACGTTAAGCTGTAAAAACCAGTAACTAAGCACAGGCTGGAAAATTACCTGTTCAGGCATATTTTTGACTGATTGCTTCATATCTCCCAGTCTTTTTAGCTACAGGAGTCAATTATTGGTGACTTACTTCACTATGATCTCTTGGTAAAAGCACAAAAAGGTTTGAAACCACTTTTTGGGTAGAAATCTGTCTGAAAGGTGGTCTTCAGTTAAGATTTTCTCTTGGAAAATGAATTAATTGGAGTTAGGACTGCAAGTTATGCAGCAATGTTGCATGTTTACAATGTAACAAAATAGAGTTCTGCATTTAACTGAACTTGGTTGTAGTTGTTACGGTGCAGTAGCACTTGTTTTGTATTACTTTCTCAAGAGGGAAGTTTAAATAAGAAAGCGTATGTTTATGGATGTTTACCAAGAAGTGGTCTTTCCCTGACAAGCAAGATACTTCTACCAAGAAGTTGTAATGGGTGCATGATCCTGCACTTCACATTATGGATGGAGTGGTTTGCTTGTATCATGCAGATATACCCTTTGTTGCTAAAAAATTAAAATTTGTTTTCCTTCTCCCCAAAGCCACAAAATCTTTGTGGTTTTTGAAAAACAGGTCTTCTGAGTTGATGGAATTTGAGGGTTTTTAGACTGCCTCTGTGAGAGGGGAAATTATACACATAACATTTATTTATTGTGTGCTCCAGTTGAAAAATCATACTTTCTGGGGGGAAAAAAAAACCAAACACTTTCTGTAAGGATTATTTAGTGCTGTGGTCAAGTTCTTAAAAGACTTTTGTATATCTAGTGTATATTTACATTTTAAAAAGTGAATTACCTGGGTTTTCTTTGATGATCCAGTGAAACAAGCATATATAGCTGCCATAGTAAGACATTACTTGAAGCTGCAATAGGTGAATCACTGAAGATGTTTATGCCTTTCACTGAATTTTTACTGTTTTTTTTTACTGTTTTGGGTTTTGAGGTTAGATAGGATGTAGTTTTAGACAAACGGTGAAAATAAGCATGAAAAGACTTCACTGGAGCGTAATGATGTCCTTACATTGTGTATCTCTGTCTGAAGTCTGTTCTAAAGCTTCAGTTACTTGATTCATGGGAACTGATAAAACCACTGGATTTGCAGCAGAATTTTCTGTATGAGGTTTTTTTAAAAACGACTTCCCTTTACAGCCTGAAGTACTTGAACAACTGAGTGGGTTAAAGGAATTTTGGATGGATGGTAATAGACTAACTCTTATTCCAGGGGTAAGTCCTTTTACTGTGTTAAACATTTAGTATTTTAATTTACAGTGGTGTTTGCTTTGTCAGCTGTCATATATGTTAAAATTAGTATGTAATTTTAGTGTTACATAAAGCCAAAAGGCTAAATGCCACTTAAATGCTTAACTAGTCTACTTAGAAATTGTCACTGATCATGAGAGTTGGGTACACAGCTTTTCTTTCATTGAAAGTTATATACCTCTCATCTGAATATTATGTTCCAATTCAGGAAAGGGATAAAAATCTTAGATCAAATCCTAGATCAAATTTAGGGTTGACTGGGCCTTCCAAAAGGGGATTATTTTGTGTTAGACAGCAAGCAGGAATTTACAGGATAAATATGTGGCGTGAATTTTACTGGTCATGGCTACAAAAAGCAAGCAATATGTGTTCAGGTGCCATGTATGCAGGGAGCATAGCCATTTCCTGAGAAAATGTTCTGGTGACTTTGTCTGCGTTCCTGACATGTCCCAGAATTACACGGGGTCCAGGCTGACCTATTACTGCAGTACTTGTGAACCTGTGCTTATGTTCTAGTAAACTAGTAAATGAGTATTTGAATTTCTGCTTTACAGTAAAAGTAAAACTGTGTTTGTGAAAGTGAGTGCATCTTCCCTGTCCAGGCTTTAGTAGAGCAGTGTGCACAAATCTTCAGGCTTATTCTTGGTTCATGTGGAAAGGTAATACAAGCTTGTATTTTGACTTGTTTCTTCAGTTTAGTACAATTAGGAATTTGCTGTTTTGGGTTTTGAGGTTAGATAGGATGTAGTTTTAGGCAAACGGTGAAAATAAGCATGAAAAGACTTCACTGGAGCATAATGATGTCCTTACATTGTGTATCTCTGTCTGAAGTCTGTTCTAAAGCTTCGGTTACTTGATTCATGGGAACTGATAAAACCACTGAATTTGCAGCAGAATCACTTTAGAGGCCAGCAGAATTACTGTGGTGTGGCTGTGTGTGGAAAAACATCAACTGTGCATATCTGCACAAAATACTTCATTATAAAGCTTGGATATTTTGCATAAAATTGTATTTCAGCACTATAAACAGATTTTCTTTTCTGCTCTGGCATTACTCTTGAGAGGCAGTTTGTTGTCACATCTTCTTGATTTTTGTTTTGAACTTGCATTTTCTAGAATGTATTATTTTCTCTTGCTTTTAGTTTATAGGCACTTTGAAACAACTGACCTACTTGGATGTTTCGAAAAACAACGTTGAAGTAGTGGAAGAAGGTATTTCAGGTTGTGAAAGCCTGCAAGACCTACTGTTATCCAGTAATTCACTTCAGCAACTGCCAGACTCTATTGGTGTGTATTTTCAGTTAACTCATGTTCTTAAAAGCTTATACTTTTAACACAGACGGCTTGAAAATAGACAAATGCCATTTTAGATCTAATTTTTAATTGATTAAAAGTGCCAGTTTTGGATAAAGCTGTAATACATAGCTGAATAATGAAATCCGTATTTGTTTTGGAGCATTCTTGACTTCATGCCATAGTTTGTAAATGGATAAAAATATTTTTTCCTCCCCACCCTCCCATGGCTGGCAAGTGGTAAGCTGGCAAACAAGTTCTGTAAGCTGATCTGCTTATTTCACTAGGTATAAAGCACTATAGGCATACCAGAGAATACGGACGATGTGTTGCTTGTCCATAGTTGTGTTTCCCATTAAATTAAAATCAAAACTAGGCTTAATGAACTCAAATGTCCTTTTTGATTTACTTGTTAATTTTATTACAGGTTCTCTGAAGAAGGTAACAACACTTAAAATTGATGAAAACCAGTTAATTTATTTGCCGGATTCCATAGGAGGGTAGGTGTTTCATCTGAATAAAAGGTTGAATTACCTTTCTGCATATGGAATGCATGGGTCCTCTTGTGAATGTTTTTTCAGCTACTTGATTTAATTTCTTCTGCATGTTAATATCTTCATAAAATTGAAAGCAAATCGTTTCTTGTTCTTCTAGTTTGCAGAATGTATGTTCTTTATGTATCAAAAGACCTATGTTCCTCACTTGCTAATACAGCCACCAATCTGTAAAAGAAAAATTGAATGTGAAAGAAAACAAGATGTTTAAAATGGCAGTCAGCTACCTGGAACTGTTTTTTGGCAGTAACATAGCTGTGGCTGTGGTAAATATTGCAAGTGGTTGAACCACTATCCAAAAGCTTGTAAAAAGTGAATCTGAAAACACATTTTTTTATATTACAAGGACAATTTTCACCTGTTCATCAACGCATTTGTCAATGTATAATTTGATGTTCAGCAACTTAATTTAAAACTCAAAAAAGACAGCAAAAATATTTGGTTCAGAATTAAGCAATATACAAATAAAGGGTATTTGTTCCAGTTTATTTTGCCCTAATATAATTAGTGGAGGTTATCTGTTGTCAGAATTTACAAAATACTTCTTCACTGCCAGATTCTTAAACTCATTGTCTCTAATGCTTGGAATTATTTTCTTGTTCAGAAACTGCTCTCAGCTCCTGTTTGGCTATGATCTGTCCCTTCTGAATGTTTTCAGTGCCTTGCACTAGCATGTTTTCATGTAGTACACAAATATTTGATGCTGCTGGCCCCCATGTTTTCACTGTGTGCTCTTTTATGAGGACAGTGTAAAGGAGGTTCAAAAAAAACCCCACATACCACAAAACAAGCCCAAAAACCTCACAATCAACAACAAACTAAAAAACCCTCCAAAACACATTTTAGGCAATTAGTAAAGAATTTTTCTTGAATTTTAATTACCTTCGGTTTCAGAGTTTTATTTTGAATTAAATTTGAGATTTGTAATTAATAGTGTTATTAATTCAAACTTACAGTATTCCATTAATGTTGAATGAATAAACCTCTGTAAACGAGAATTTTTTTTTTTTTGCAGGTTAGTATCAGTAGAAGAACTGGACTGTAGTTTCAATGAAATTGAAACATTGCCTTCATCTGTTGGGCAGCTCTCTAATATACGAACGTTTGCTGCAGATCATAACTTTTTAACACAGCTGCCATCAGAGGTGTGTATTTAATTACAAAACTGTGAAATGAATTTTTAAATGTATTTTAAACTATATAGTCTACAACTTTTGGATAACAAGTTAATAATTCTTGAATAGATTTTCTTCGTGTCTGTTTTTAAAAGATGATGTAGGTGAATATACAAATTTTCAAACAATGAAATTCTGAATTTTTTTAATCAAGAAATAGAAATTTGTTGCCAGTGTATTGAAACTAAAAAGGTTTAATGTTTAGGAATAAATCTAATTATACTTTACAGGCAAAAATAGCTGTAATACTATTTGTTTTCAAACAGTAAAAATTTGCATATTTAGAGTTGTGAAGACAGATTCATTCTTTCGGTTTTTTTTCAGATTGGAAACTGGAAGCATGTAACGGTGTTGTTTCTGCATTCTAACAAGCTTGAATTTCTCCCTGAAGAAATGGGCAGTATGCAGAAATTAAAAGTTATCAATCTGAGTGACAATAGGTTTGTGAATGCATTTATTCAAGTAGAAGTTGTATAAAATGCAACAATAATGTGGAGGTATTGTTATGAATATATTACGCTATCTTTCCTTATCTCACACACAGCTTAGAAGCTGACTGAGATGCATGTATTTAATATATTACTGTTGTATTCTGGATCTTGCAGTTCCATTGTATTAAGCTGTCTTTTTTAATGACTTGGCACACGAGTTGAAGCACAGCTTGAATACATTCATGATTGTTAGCATTCATTTGTCTGGGGAATTAGTTTGGTTACTTCCATAAAAGTTTGATTCTTACTTAGAAGTTAGTAGCTTCCTGTATTGCATATGGAGGACACCAAATAGTATCACGATACAGTGTAAAACACTTGAGTGTGCTGGGGAGTGGTGAAAAGAGAGTTGTGTTTTGTTGGAGCTGGTCATTGAAAACTGACAAAACATTTATCTTTCGGGAATTTCCAGTTTGTAGAATTGAAATGTATTGGGAGAGAAAAGTCTAACTGAGCTCCATCTCCTGTTCTGCCAGTGCAGCCTCTCCGTACTCCATTTGTAGCCTGATTTATCCATTAATGTCAGAGCTTCCATCCAGGGCAGCCCCTTTCCCACACATGTATCTTGGAAAAAAACAACAATTTTCAGATGTGGCACTGTTTTCTTAATTGGCGTAGCGTGTATATTGAAAGATAAAATACTGAAGATTCAGATTAATTATTTCAGATTAATTGTCTTCAAAATTGTATTGAGGTCACTGAACTGAGTTAAATTCAAGTTACATCATCACTTTCTTTTTCAGCTGCTTGGTTACATGCTGTTGCCTTTCAACTGTCAATAGTTATTAATTTAACTATATCTGTAAGTGTCCTTTTTAGACTTTTTATGGGCTAATGCAGGATTGTTTCTTAACAGTCTTAACAGTATTGGTAAGTGTACTTACATAAACTCTTGTTGCAATTTGCAGACTGAAGAATTTGCCATTTACTTTTACAAAACTGCAGCAGCTCACTGCTATGTGGCTATCAGACAATCAGGTGAATGTTTTTTAAAATTAAAAATAGATGATTGTTGACTTTATTCCTAATGAAATTGACAAACAGCCATCTGTTAAATAATGAGACCTGGTGCTGTGTGTATACATCACTACTTCTTTGACATGACCATGTGGGTTCTCCTGAAATAAACAACATTCAGCCTAACCGTCTTTGAAGACTTTCATACTTCCAGCAAAGTTCTGTGCTGTTAGGAAATGCAGTTTAACAGATGTTTGGTTTCTTGTTTTTTGTTTTTCTTAAGTCAGGCTTGTTTACACAGGAGAGTTAGTGCTTGATAAGCTAGTAGTTGAATGTGTAACATGCTGTTTCTTCCACAGCTATAACATTGGGGAAACTTCGCATGCCTTTTGTTGAACTAGGTGTCTTGCCGCACCTTTGAGCTCTGTGACTGTCCGAGTTTCAAGCTATGAAGCAGTAACTCGTGTGCTTGTGGCTTATATTTTTGCTGTGTATTGAAACCCTCTGTACTATGCTAATTTCCTGAGTGGCATTAAGGTGTACAGGGCTGCCCGAAATCCACTAGCTTCAGATGTAGTATAATGAAAGCACTTTTACTAATACAGTAATTTCAAGAATCCCCTGCCCTGTTTTGTAAGGCATGGGGAATATTCAATCTGGTGTCAATATGAAAAACTGGATACAAAATTTTTCTCTTTGTATGATTGTCTTCAGCTTTAAAATGCCAAGTATACTTGTGTATTCCAGATCAGCCTGTTTTGGGATAGTAATAAGTCCTAGCAAGAAACTGGGTGATTTTTTTGCATATCCAACGTTTGCTTTTAGCTTAAAGCTGCTACAGAATTTCAGTTTTTAGTCAAAGCCAGTCGTCAATCAAAGACAGACATGTTAATAACTTCATTTTGTGAAAATTATTCAGAGGAGAAGTGGTTTAATACAAGGCAGAGTAGTCTCCAAAGTAATGGGACAGGCATGCTCTGTCATATGTTGATAGTATTTACTTTTTCATATATATATTCTTATAACATATCCTTCTTTCATTTGCTTCCTAGTCTAAACCACTTATCCCTCTTCAAAAAGAAGCTGACCCTGACACACAGAAAACAGTGCTTACTAATTACATGTTCCCCCAGCAACCAAGGACTGAAGATGGTAAGAATTTCTGAAGTACCCTGTCAGAATGCACACTTTTGAAAATAATAATGGAACTGTCCAGCTAATACGATTTTCACTAGATAATACTTAAATACAAGTTTAAAGTAAATTTGTGAGAGATGAAGAGTTACATGTGAGGAATGAGAACAGTAACTTAATGTGATCTACATATTGGTAAATTCTAGGTGAAGTAGTTTCAGTGATTGAGGTGAGGAATGGTCTGGTGTGAGGTGTGATCATATTCTGTTATGGTTGCCACTTCCCAGTGCTCTCTGTTTCATTCCAGCGGAGCTTAATGGTTTGGGGTGCAATTTTACTTAGCAAGTGTCTGCTTCAGACTTGACTATTTTAACAGAATGTTAGACGAAATGTCTTTTCTGTTACTGAGTACATATTTTGGGAAAAATACATAGCATTCTGGGTTTTATTTTAAAAGAAAAAAAACTGGTCCAGAAAAAAAACATTTTGCTCACATGTAGTTTGAACAGTTTTATGAAAAAAGCTTTTATTAAACTTTATTAAAGTTAGGCCCAAAATACTAAGACCTTGCCAGAAAGTTGTTTCTCCACACTTGTGAAATAGTTAAGAAAATAAGCAACATTCCCTGAGTAACCCCTTTGGGAGTTAGAGAGTTAAACTACTTTATTTCTCCACTTTCTCCTGCAGGCAAAGGGAACAAGCTTGTGCTGCTTGAACAGAACTGGAGGGGGGGCATGTATCAATGGAAACAATTGGAAACTAAAAAGTGGCAACATTTGCTGTTCCATGGCACAAGTGTCTAGCAGGCAGAGAGAGGAGTAATCAAAAATATCAGCAAAACCAGTAAATTGTGATAATGCAGGGTTTTGTTATGAAGTCATTCTTATTCTTTGATTTTGAATTTTCATTAAATGAAATCAGGTGAAAGCTCTTACACATGCTTAACACGACCATCTCACTGAAGTCAGGCTATATAAATCTGTAGAACTTACGTTTATATATATACAAATAAGTATTTTAATATTTATAGGTAGCTATGAATATAACCACTTTGCAGCAGAGAGTCCTCCTGAAAATTTTCAAGTGTGAGTGTTAATGCTAGTGTGCAGCTGTGTGTATGAAGTTTTTTACTGAACAGATAGGGATTTTACTATTATGAAAATACACCCAAGTTCATAAAGCAGTGGAGCTGGTCTTCAATTAACGGTGCTGCTAGTCTCTTATCTTTTAAGAATACATACGAAAGCACACCAGTCCCATCCAAGAGAAAGAAAAAGAGATTTTTATTTCACATGATGTATCCTATTCTTATGAGAGTCTTTTTTTTTTTAAAGTGATGTTCATATCTGATAATGAAAGTTTCAATCCCTCTCTGTGGGAGGAACAGCGGAAACAGCGTGCTCAGGTGGCATTTGAGTGTGATGAAGACAAAGATGAGAGAGAGGCACCACCTCGGGTTAGTATTGACTTTATTTTTGAATACTTGGTGCTTCCCTCTCTCTTACCCCCACCCTTGAATCTCATCCTCTTCCTTACTTTGGCTGTGGATTTCACTCTGATGAACAAATCAAATCTTCAATTACCAGTTAAGATAGTTAAGAGTATCTAACAGGATGAAACACTATGGTCTGGGGCTTGTTTTTATTTTTGTTTCTGTTTGTTTTTTTTTTGCCAGATCATTTAAAGTGGAACACAAGGGAAAAACTCTCAAATTATAAAAGGCAATCTAGGGCATAACTAGGAGACTACCTGACAGGTGGTGCTGTGGGGAAACAATGATTAATCCTGACTTTTCTTTAAGTAAATTATGGTTATCATAGTTCTTCCTGCTTGCAATCAAAGGACACATTTGGCAGGGAAACAAAGTGATTCATAATCTTGCTGGGTTTTATAAACTGCTAAAGTCTGCATCAGTCCAGGCAGACTCAAACAGCAAAGTGGAGATCCTAGATTGTTCAGTGTTTTGCCCTAATTCACCGTCTATTTTAAAGCTGAAGTTTTACTTAAGACATTTAAGTAAACGTAGAACATTATTGCTTTTTGTTATACAGGAAGGCAACCTGAAGAGATACCCAACTCCATATCCTGATGAACTGAAGAATATGGTCAAAACAGTCCAGACAATAGTACATCGGCTAAAGGATGAAGAATCTACTGAAGATATTGCCAAGGAGTCAAAACGAGAAAGCCAGGCAATTTCTGTAAAAGATGTGGGGGTAAAGGTTAGAGATAATATTCTCTTCTGACTTTGCAAGAACTTCCAAAGATGTCGAGTGTCGTTGATTGCTTTTAATTCACTTCTCCCTCCCTGCCAATGCTTTAGCAAGAAAAATTGTCAGATTGAAGAACAGAACTTAGAGACTTCTTTAGGTGAAGAGGTAATAAATGTCTCCTTGCAGCAGCAGTTTTCCTCGGATGCTAAGAACAAGAAAAATGCCTTGATTCTCAGACAAATACAAACTGTGCATGTGTTGAAGAAGCTGACTTCTTTGGTTTCTGGAGGATGTCATCATTGTCATCCTGTGATCCTCTTTTATACACCAGACTTCACAGTGAAATTCAGGATAATCTCTGAGGATCTTACCAGTGCCCTTGTGACTGGAGGTTTTACAAGAGAAGTCGGGAAGGCAATTGTAGCAAATTGGCACAGGAGCCAGGCATCTCTAACAGGCTGTTGTAGCATGATAGGTGATAGGACTACCATTTGATGCTGATGTGTCTCATCGTAGATGTTCTTGGCCTTTTTTTTTTTTTTTTTAATTTAGCTAGAAATTTAATGGTACAAATTGACCCCAGTACAGAGGAGAATCAAATTGATTGACACAGGGTAGGGAGCGTACATCAGTAATCTATAGACAGTTCTCTGCGTTTCATAGCTGGTGCATTTCAGACTTTGTGATTTCAAAGCTCAGATTTTCCATTCCATAGTTTCCCAAAATATATATAACGTTAACTCTAAATATCATATGTTCCTGAAAACCTTTCAGGATGTTTTTTCTGCTTATGTTCTTAATCCTGTAGACTTCAGAAACTGCTTCAATAAAGAACAAAGCAGAGGAGAGAAAGCAAGAAGCCTACTGAACCAGAAGCTGAGCACAGCACCACAAATTCACAGATGACTGCACTTGTTAAAACCTTGCAGAACACAAAAGCAGTTGTCAGCCATGAAGACACACTCGAGGTATGGCATTGCGATGAACATCATACTCTCGGACATGAAAATTTATGTTGACAACGGCAGAAAATTGCCGTCCATAAGTACTATAAATACAGATGGTTTGCAGTGCAAGATTTTTCTCACTTCAGATTGTATTAGGTAAAAGTAGAAATCTAATAAAAAGTTCATAATGAAAGACACATGCATTTAAAGAAAAATAAACGAAACTTGACAAAAAGTTGACCTAAGTATCAAACTGTAAAAAGACTCATACTTAAATAGAATTTTCCAGTTTTGCTTGATTGTCAGTTCTTCATTAATAATTTCAGTTGTCACTGAAATAACTGATTAGTGGGAGCAATCAAAAACTTGTGTATCCAAGTGACTACGCACATTCATTTCAAGTGAGAAGTGAAAGGTGGGTTTAAATATATGTATTCCTCTGTTTTTTAGTGAGCTCTTGTGAATATGACTTGGATTGTATTTACCTCTAATAGAGGTGAATTCGGAGATTTTGAACTTTCAGGCTTTTTATACTTCTCTCTGACGAACAGCATGTATGGATTTATTTAGAAGGCTTCAGACTTACGACAAATTTTGGAACTTGTCCCTTTGACAGTTGCTAGTCACAACTTGTAAAATGCTTTTTTCATAGTTTCAAAAGGAGATAACTTGTGGCTGTGTTGTGTAAGCAGTGGAACATGTATATATATCATGGTCTTATTGAAGAGACTTTGTGATGAGCAGTTGTGGCTGTTGCTGGCTATTTCCCCACTAGCGTGTTCCTGCTTCTACATACTTTCTGAAAATACTGGTTTTGACATTTTTCTTTAGTTTAAAAACATTATCTCAGAAAATCATTTTAGTTGTCTAAAGGTAGTGACAGCAGTTCTTTGTAGCTGGCTGTATGCCAGTAAGGAAATGAGGCAGCAATGTGTAGTCAGTCAGGGAGAGTGAATTCCTTACTTCCATGTGATAACCTGGTGGTAATTCTGTTGCAGTTGAATCCACGTATCTAAACTTCACAAAACTTCACATGGGTGTCATTTTTTTCATTTTAACACTGATTACACTGGTTGTATGTCACATCCAAGAGGAAGGGCAGTGTGGTGAATGCAGTGAAGAGGTTGTCTGCTCCAACTGCACTGAAAACTAGATGGATTTTAATTTTTTGTTCTTAATGAAGGCTATCATAGATTGTTTGCTGCATCTCAGTCAGGTTTGTCCTCCCTGCTGTCCAACGAACTGCCCAGGTAGTTACTATCATGGGAAAGCTGGTACTCCAGTAGGTTCCATTAAATGTTCTGAAATTTGTAAGAAAAAGTGAACATGGACAGACTATTTTTTAATCTGCAATATGAATTTTGTAGCATTGGTAATAGGGAGCATGTTTACTAGAAAGAAGTTCCCTCTTTAGGGAATGAAGGCTTATTTTCTTTCAAAATACTACTGCAAACAATCATTTCTTGAAGATGATAGGAATATAGGGCTGGCAGTAGGATACTGAATCAGTTGCGTGGTTGCTCTTGCAGCAGCTTTGTCAGTTGATCTCTTTCATAAGTGCACAGAGCTCCATCTTATGGTTAGGAACTAGTGATTTCTAGCTTAAATGTATTCATCATTGCTTTATTCCTCTGCCATTGTTCTCAAAGTTAAATAACTTATTTTCTTTCTGGAATTTACCCCTAATGTAAATTTAAAGATATAAACTGAAGCTAACTTGCTCTTTTTTTGCTAGACTGGGCAAGCCAAGATCATTCCATCTTTTCTCACAGCAGAGCTCTCCATTTCTAAGATTGTTTTGATCATGTGATTCTATAGCTGTGTTAGTTTGATCTAATTTCTGCAAAACCAATAGCCAGCTAGTCAGTCTGGGGCATCTGCTGGTTCAGTGAGAACTTTCTGACTCAGCTGGGGGTTCTCTCCAATGATGGAACAGAGGCTGCATCTGCTTCTCTAAGTAGATTTTTGCAGCTGAAGTTACAGCTTTGACTGTCATTCTCATGGAGTTCATCAATGACAGCGCAAGTCTGCATGTACTGCTGCTTAAAGAAAATTCAGTGACAAATATTACTTAATTCAGTGGCAAATACTACTAAATTCAATTGACTTGAACTGTAAATGCACTACACAGTTGTTACGTTGTTTTTTTATGTTTTCCCCTTTGTTGTTTGGTGGGTGACAGTTTAGATAGCATTTACTTAGCCTTTAAGCAGTTCTTTAAAATGCACAGCATAAAGCTGTTTTTCCTTTAGCAGGAGTCAGAAGAACTCTCGTCTGATGAAGAGATGAAAATGGCAGAAATGCGACCACCACTGATAGAAACCTCTATAAACCAACCAAAAGTGGTAGCTCTTAGCAATAACAAAAAAGGTTAGATACCATAAAAAGCAATAGAAATGTTGTGTGTTTCTGATAATTTCTTGACTCAAAGTGGCTAGTTTTTCCAGTTGAGTTACGTAAAAGTAGATTTAATTTGTTTGTGTTAAAAGAAAGATGATCAATTCTCTAGTTAAGCAATGAAAGCAGATGAAAAATTCTGCAGTATCTTCTACTTGAGTGTATGGTAAAGAAAGCAGTGTTGACATCCTAATTTTCTTGATTCTTGTCATTGGTTTAAAAGCAGAGGGAGAAAGGAGATGTGTGTGTTTTGGGGGACTGTTAGCTTGAACACGCTCTGAATACACTTAAGGATCGCAGAAAGTGGTATATATGGAAATATGCCATATTTCGCCCCTTCCTCAGATATTGTGGATTATTGCTGCTGTAGGCAGCAATATCACTTGTTTAAATTTCGCACAGACTCTGTGCTCTCTTCCTAAGGTTTAAGAAGAAACTTCTCTTGTGGCAGCTCTTTCTCCAGAGTCACTTTACTCTGTTAATTTTCTTCTTTCTTCTAACAGGAAACTTCAGAACATCATTAGCTAAGTTTTGTATTCCCTGAAAGATAATTTCAGGCTGGGTAACCATTTCCTTAAGAGTAAGGAATGACCTAGGAATGAGAGAAAAGATAATTTAGAAGTTGGAGAGCAATTTCTCTTTTGCTTCACAGAATATCTCTGTCCAGTACTTTCGAGGACAAAAGGCTTTTCTGACCATTAGATGTAAAAGGGTGAGATTTAGGGGAGATGAAAGAAAACCACATGGATGTAGCAGGAAGAATCTGCTGAGGATCACATGCAGGTGAAAAGATTGATGTTTATCAACGCCATCTTTGGGGGTTTATGCCAGACTAAAGTACTGAGTCAAAACTTCTTTCTTGTCTCTGGAGATGGACATTAGTTGCACAAAACTTAGGCTTTTTGGCACCTGTAACTGTGTCTTGAAGGAGAAATTTAAATGTATTTCTTTGTACACTTATATCAAAATCATGACTGGCTTGAAGTCCCACACAAAAAGTTCTTTTTATATGGATATAGTATGTACGTTTGCATACATTATGCAAGAATCAGTGTGTACAGGTGTAAATTACTCTGAAAATGTTGTCCTCAGTGATCTTCAAAGCATGGGAGTGCATTGGATTCTAGCTCTGGAGAAGAGCATTTTTCTTTCCTGTTTTTTTTACATTTATGAAACTGTACAGAGCTTATCCAGTGATGTAGATCTTCCCAGAGTGCTTGGTCTAATAAATAGCTATTTAACAATGATGTAATGTTCAAAATCAGAAGCTGTGTACACTTTCAAAATCCTGCATGTGAAGCAGTGTACTTCATGTTCATAGGGGCTAACATTCATGTAACTTTGAAATCATTCCAGAAACAGAAGTACAATGGGATAGATGTTTTGGGGACACATTGCATAATGTAGCACTAGCTTATGCCAGGGAAACTTGGAACAAAGCAATATGTTAAATTTCATAAACAGGTGAGGGCTGTTTATATTGAGCCAGATATTTAAAAAAAGAGGAACTATTGCCAACAGTCTTTTGTAAGTTTAAATGAAGTTTGCGAAGGTGTCGGCTTACGTTTTAGTTTACAGTAGTAGGAATTACTGAAGAACAAGAGGCAATTTCTAAATACTGTAAGGTACACATTAAATGGCTATTAAACAGATGTATGTGTCTCACTAATTGGCACATTTTTATTTCAGATTCAAACGATGCTGATTCCTTATCAGATGAAGCTATCCACAATAGCAATCAGAATAACAGCAACTGTTCCTCTCCTTCTCGAATGTCAGATTCTGTTTCCTTAAATACTGATAGTAGCCAAGATATTTCTCTCTGTTCTCCAGACAAAGAAACACATGCTGCTGTTTTATCCAAGATCAGGTTTGTAAGATCCTGTGTACTGCTGAGCAAATATAATAGAAAAATGTTACTTAATCTTTCACATTGTGACCATTCCTTTAATTCATTAATTTATAGTATAATTGATGTTTAAAAATAATGGAATAGTTCTCAAAAAAAAAGGACAATAAAATTCAGAGGCTAATTTTAGTATACAAGACGTGGTTCCCATCTGTTTTAATAATACCGTGTAATAATTTCATCCTTATAATTTGTTATCCCTGCAAAATACTTCAACATATTGTTTTAAAAGCTCTTTGCTTTCATTAGCATAATTTTGAAGATCAATTTCATCACCAACATAACTATAAAAGGGTTTTATAAACTTATAAAAGATGGACTTGCAGGTTGCTACTTTTCTTGAGGTTTTAGTGAAATGCCGTTTTAAAAATTGCCAATAGAAACAAGGTGTTTGACCATTGTCATGGAACTTGCAAGTATTTGGTAAAAAAAATTGAGCTATTGTCACTTCGTACTTTTTGATACTTTTAAACTTTTTCATAATTCCTGTTGAATTTAAACAAACTTCTGAAATCAGATGACACAAACGTTGCCAAATGAGTCCTATATGTAATGTATTTTTGTAACGGTGAGATAGCTAGTCATAAATCTGGCTGTATATTGGTCTTTGTCCTGTTTTTTGTGCACAGTATGGCTGTGTTGCATGTTAATGATTATTTTTTCTAAAACAGTTCTTAAAGGAATACGTTGGTTCCTTTTTTAAGAGCCATGTTTTTTTCCAGGCGGGAAGATGAGAATTTGAATAATCTTTTGCAAAATGGAGGCGAATTGAGCATTACAGTAGAAGAGAGAATGAATGTGCAAGAGAAGGTTACAAATTTGTCTGAATATGAATTATGCATTGAAGAAAGATTGGGCTTGATAGGAAAAGGTGTTGATCTAAGCACTCCTACAGAGGAGTCACGCAAATTAGACCAAATAAACATGAATATCAATAAGCTAGTTAGTGAAGAGACAGTGCCAGTTCCTGTAGAAACATTACAAACACAGGAAATAGTTTCAGTAAAGGGATTCTTGAATAACAACACGGAAGAAGAAAGTGAGCCCTTGGAAAATGGAAATAAATATCCTATAAATAAAGTAAATGGATATCCTGAGGAAGCAGTAGAGTCTTCCAATAAAGATGAACTGATGAGAAGCACTACAGTTGATGGCGATTCTGCTGAGCTCTCTGTTTCGAGGAGCACTGAAGATTTGTCCCCACAGAGAAGTGGTCCTGTGATGAAATCTCACAGCATCACCAGTATGGACACAGGTGGTCTGAAAGTCTACGATATCGTCAGTGAGAATGGATCTGAACAGCCAAACTCAGTGGTAAAATCAGCATCTGATAGTGCAGATGGAAAAAACATAGTCCGAAGTAAATCCGCTACTATTCTGTATGATCAGCCTTTGCAGGTTTTTCCTGGATCGTCGTCATCATCTGATTTAGTGTCTTCTACAAAAACTGTGCTCAAGTTTGACTCAAATCACAATCCTGAAGATGCTAATGTGGTGAGAGGATCAGTGACAAGTGGTGCACAGATGTTCTGTGCTCCCCAGTATAATATTCAGTACAGCAGCAGTGCAACAGCGAAGGACGCCTTGTGGTCCCAGAAACAAAGCACTCAAGTAGAACAAGGCAGCTTGCCTCCTTCACGTCTGCTTAGGTCTGACAGTGCAGAAACCCCCAGCTATGTAAAGCATTCTGCCAATATGAATTTCTCCAATCATAACAATGTCCGAGCCAGTGCTGTGTATAATACTCATCAGCGGATGCCTGGGAGACATACAGATATGTGGGCTATTCCACCGAGTGATAGACTGCTCCCTGGAGCAACAAGACACACCCTTCAAAGGCAGAGCAGTGTGTCTTCTACAGCTTCTATAAATGTTGGGGATACTGGACATTCAAGGAGGACACAGGTTCCCGAAGGGGACTATTTAACGTACAGAGATTTGCATTCAATGGGAAGAGCTCCACCAGTAATGTCAGGGCAGCAGAGACCTCTTTCTGCCAGGGCATACAGCATTGATGGTCCAAATGTACCCCGACCACAGAGTGCTCGGCCATCAGTGAATGAAATACCAGAAAGAACTATGTCAGTTAGTGACTTCAATTACTCACGGACTAGCCCTTCAAAGAGATCAAACCCAAGGGTTAACTCTGAGCACTCTTTATTAGACACCCCAGGAAAAAGTAAAGTCCCTCACGACTGGAGGGAACAGGTGCTGCGACATATTGAGGCTAAAAAGCTAGAAAAGGTAAAAATAACAACTTTAAAACTTTTCTACCTTTCTGTTACCTGGATACAGAGTAAGTAAAATACTCTGTTTTGAACTGCTTTTAATTACCAGTGAAAATGTACTTCTGATACTGCCTTAAAAAAGATAAATGTGTTTGTGATGAGTATCTGAGAAACAGTCATATGGTAGACTATAAATGAACCTTTCCCCCAAAGAAAAAAGTCCCTGTTGTTTTTACATCATACTTGCCAGCTTGGTCCAGTTACTTTAGAATACATTAAATAATGTCACATTGACCTGCTGGACTGCAAGGCCAGCTCTTTTAGGCCAGGTAATTTTTATTGCAGCATTGTGTTTGTATTACACTACAATATACCCTTACACTTCTTAATCTTTCTGTTCTGCCTTTCCCCCCCTATTTCTCCTCCTTAAGAACAAGCAAAAGAAAATCAGTAAAATCTGTTCAGAGGTATAGGTCTAGATCTTCAATTTGTGAAGAATTCAAAAGCCATAATTAACATGTATTTGCCTTCAAGCCAGTTGTCTTTTGAAGTTGGGTATCTGACAGATTGTTGAATGAATATTTATTGCTGTGAGATGAGAACACTTAAAAATCTTGTTCATTTCAGGAAATCACAGGAGGGTTTGGTAAAACTAGACATGATGAACAAGATTCTTCATGTACTGTACATGCTATCAAGAATCCGAGCTAATTTGTAGAGCTGAACATTTATATACCTTCAAAGAATTTGAGTAGAGACTGGAAGAGTGTAATCTGTGCTGTCCAGCTAAACCAGTTTAAAATATCATCGCTAAATAATGGGTAGAATGTTATTAGCCTGATCCTGTTTCTTTGGAGGCAAAGTAAGGCAGTCAAAATACATTTTGATTGTGCCAGCTGGATGGATTTTTCTTTTTTAATTTCTTTTGAAAGAATATAGTTTGGTTTGTGATTATTATGCTAAATATTTCAATATCCCTGATAGCTAAAGAAATTTAATTGAAGATGTTCGGCAAAATTACTTTTAACTATGATCTTTCTTTGGAAATCCAAGTATTTGGAGGGATGGGTTTGCTTTTGTTTGTTGTACGTTGCATAACTTCTGGTGATAGGAAGGGGTGTGATTTGTTTGTTTCTAAAGAAACCTGCACAACATCTGCACCTGTTCTTGTGATCCACTTTGAGTTGGGTACAACATTTGATATTTTAAGGCTTGCACAGTACTGTGCTGTAGTGTGGGGACACTTTGTCCCACAGGGCGGTCACAAATCTCACCATGTTGCAACCCTAACAAAAGGTGCATTTTCTGGTCTTCCATTCGCCTGGATGCATATATCAAATCTTACATGAAATGACAGAGAAGCAAAAATCCCAGCAATCCCTGAATGCAGAGGGAAGCAAAACTTCAGTGCACTGCTAATGCAGTTTTATAGCTCGTTCTTGTATTGTCTACATTTAACATGTTAGGAAAAATAAACATTTAATACATCAGTGGTAGCTGTTCAGGTACTACAGCAGTGTAGTCACCTTTACTGAAATGAAATTGGTTGCCTGACTTGATTCCCTTTATATCTGTCCATACTTTCTATCATGCTTTATATGTAAACCTTAAATTTTTATTTCCTGCTAAAGCGGCATGTAATGGATGTTCTTGAGATCTTACATGTGCATCTAATTTAACAGATCACAGAATCACAGAATAGTAGGGGTTGGAAGGGACCTCTGTGGGTCATCTAGTCCAACCCTCCTGCTAAAGCAGGGTCACCTACAGCAGGCTGCACAGGACCTTGTCCAGGCGGGTCTTGAATATCTCTAGAGAAGGAGACTCCACAACCTCCCTGGGCAGCCTGTTCCAGTGCTCCGTCACCCTCAGAGGGAAGAAGTTCTTCCTCATGTTCAGACGGAACTTCCTGTGCTTCAGTTTGTGCCCATTGCCCCTTGTCGTGTCGCTGGGCACCACTGAAAAGAGCTTGGCCCCATCCTCCTGACACCCACCCTTCAGATATTTATAAGCATTTATTAGGTCCCCTCGCAGCCTTCTCTTCTTCAGGCTGAACAAGCCCAGCTCCCTCAGCCTCTCCTCGCAGGGGAGATGTTCCAGTCCCCTCATCATCCTCGTAGCCCTGTACTTGGATGGACTCCAAGGTCCTTGCCTCTGACAGTTGTAGAAGTATGCAAAAGCATAGATTGGGCTTGACACTCTTGTTTTAGCCAGGTGAAGTTGGATGAAATAAAAATAACCTTGAAGAGCTGGTTTGGTTTGGTTTGGTTTGGTTTGGTTTGGTTTTTTTTGAAGTCTAAATTCTGCCATGCCCAGGAGAATTGCTTATGCAGATAACCAAGCCTCTGCCTCCAGGTCACACTGAATGGCAGCACAGCCTTCTGGTGTGTCTACCACTCCTCCCAGTTTGGTGTCGTCAGCAAACTTGCTGAGGGTACATTCTAACTCTTCATCCAGGTCGTTGATGAAGAAGTTAAACAAGACTGGGCCCAGTACTGACCCCTGGGGGACACCACTTGTTACCAGCCTCCAACTAGACTCAGAGCCGCTGATGACAACCCTCTGAGTTCTGATATTCAGCCAGTTCTCTATCCACTTCACCGACCACTCATCCAGCCCACACTTCCTCAGCTTCCCTAGGAGGATATCATGGGAGACTGTGTCGAAAGCCTTGCTGAAGTTCAGGTAGACAACATCCACGGCTCTCCCTTCGTCTACCCAGCCAGTCATGTCATTGTAGAATCTTAGAAGTCTGGTTTGTGTGCACGTGTTTCTTTTGTTCTGGCCTTGAAGCATTTTAAAATAGCATTTACCTAACAATTTGAGACTTATTTATGAGTTTAAAAGTGAAAGTGTATATAATCGTCTACTTTGTATTCTCTGCAATATGACTGACTGAAACAGAAAAATCTGAACTGTGAAATATGGAGATATGATCCTATATGGCAGCTGGCAAATATGATAATGTGGAAATTCTAGGAATTTATTGGATGTTTCTTTGTTCTTTTAAAATAACGGTTTTGATATTTCTGTTTGTAATTAAAAATTAGCTGGTCGAAGGGGCTTAATCTATAAACCAGACTTCTGAAATGTTTTGAAGTCTGAAAAAAATATCAGTAATTACAGAGCTCATTTAAGGAACAAGCATTTAAGGCACAAGTTCAATTACAGAGCTCATTTAAGGAACATTTATTGAAAGTTGCCTTGACGAAGTTTGCATGGATTTAAAATGGCGGAGTTTTTCTAAAGTATAAGATGCAACACGGACAAGAACAGGTATATAAAATTAAGCCTTATGAATAATATTCACGTATTCTTGCCTGTGATTGTACACAACACTATGGGTAGTAGTATCACCCTTGCTGTGACTCTTCTGAGCCTGTTATTGGATTTAATCATGTTTATTATTTATATCCTGTGCTTGTTAGGAAAGAGGGTGTAGTGGGTTTGGGGGGGTTTGTTTTGTTGGGGTTTGGGGTTTTTTTCATTTTGCTGAGCTCCTGAAGTACTTGTTTATTTTGTTTTTATAAAATTTGGCAACTAAAGGAAGAGAGAGAGAGGGGTGAACCCACTTAAATAAACAGTGTCTGCTTGTTGGACAAATTGGAGAAGCTAGTTATTTTTTTATTTATTAGCCCTTTTAACCTGATAGAGGTAGGGGAAAAAAAAACTTTAAAGAGTTTAATTTGCATGAGGAGAGATACAGTATAGTTTTAAGTCAGCAAAAATGATCAACAATGGATTCCAGCCAAGTAACCAACATTTGTTCATCCCTTTGACTAGCTGTAAGGGGGCATACGCCAATCAACTAAAATTATCATTCTGGTATCATTCCTTTTATCATTCCTTAAGGAAAGTGAAAGCAGTTCGTAAGACTATTTGTAAATAGGAATTTTGCATATATTCAGGAGAAACAATTTGCTTACCTGATGCAAAGCATATTTTGTTGTGGGACAGAGAAGACAGCTTATTGAAATGTGAAGCTGCTCTCTAGTGGTTACAGATGTAAGCTGTTGGAAAGCATGCTGTTAATTCTGCCCCACTCCCAAACTCCATAAATTTAGTGCACAGGGGACTTTTTAAGAACAGTAATATTTCTCAGCATATTTTCCTTTTTGAGTGTGGCTTGCCAATTTTACCAGTTGATACGTGGCAATATTCTTCTATAGTAGTCTTGTTGAAATTTAGGAATTTAAACAAAAATATTGCTTGTGTAAAAACACTAGTGTCACACACATTTTGCTGTGTGGTAGAGGAATTTCTCATCTGTAAATTGCAGTAATAAATATCTGGAACAGTTTTCTGCAAGTATCTATTATATTTCTGTATGCTGAGTAGGCAGAAACAGTTACTGTGCCTGACTCTGTCCTTTCCTTACATATGTATATTTTCTTTTTTTGTTGTGGATCTCTTTGGAGTTCATCAGGTGCGTGTTTGCTTTCAATTCTAATTTCATCTGGAATGAAATCCTCTTACTTTTTTATCTACTATTTGTCTAAAATGACAGAGCTTTCAGAAAAGAGGTCATAAAGATTGATTCCTACTTTCCAATTCAGAAATCAGAATAGGTGATTTTATTCTCAAAGTTGCCAGTGTACAGTGCCTTATTGAAAGAAAAAAGTCGAAGTGTTTCAGTATTGGCAGACAATTGCAGTTTTAACCAAAGGTTGAAAGTTTTCTTTGAATTAATATTTTATGCTACATACCTAACTTGCAAAGATATTCATATGCCCTCAGATTTTTTCTAAGTTAAGCTTGCTTCAGTATGTCAAGGAAAGTAACTTCATTGGATCTGAGTGCTTAAGTGTTTATAAGATTATAGCCTGAAGACTGTTGACACTGATAAATTACAGGAATGCTAACCATTCAATAGTTGTTAGTTTTAAATTCTGATTTTATTTTGTTTTCTCCATTTTGGATGGACTACTGAACCATCAATGTGTTACAATCATGTTTTGTGGAGTTCAAAAGTCAGTACATCACATTTTAGAAGGGATAAAGTTCTTGTGCATTTGGAATGTAAACAAGTTTTGACCTTGCCAGCATTTTATGACAGTAGAATTTAAATTATATGTAATTTTCCATGTGTAACTCTTCAATAGGCATGCTGTCACTTGTTGAAGACATTTTTTTGGTAGGATCAGAGACCTAAATTCATGCCTTTTTTTCCCTCTCTCATGACTGAAGAATTAGTTTCGTAACATTTAAGTTGTTCTTCTTTGGCATAAACTGGTACCTTGCTACAACTCTATCAGATTTCAAACACAGCTTTTTATCACTTGTGTGCTTTTATTCCAAAAGGCTTGAAGTGTTAATTATAGGCATTTCAAGTGTTCCAGAATACCTTGAGCTAACTTTTTTTAAAGAATCTTAGGTAGTCAAGGTGGGAATGAAAAGTGGAAGGATTTCTATACATTTAATATAGCCTCAAAGGATAACTTATGTCCGCTTTTAACTGGCAAGTGATTCTAAGTGCTGTTAAATAAATAAATGAAAAGACTAAGGCTTAGCAGTTAAGTTAGCAGTTAAGGCTATACCAAGATAAGTAGGATGTAGAGTCGTATTCTGTGCAGATACTTGATTTTCTTAGTTCGTGTGCTATTCCAAAATTTCATGGATTGTTGTGACACAATCCAGCTTGTCTTAAAATTACAACAGTATTATCTAATAGAAATTCTCCTGGGTACATTCCACTGTTTATTGTCTTGCGCCTAAGTAAATGTGTGAAGGCACTGCAATTCCCTAAAGACACCCTTTTGAGATCTGATACTGTCTTGTAAGCTGCAAAATGGAGAATGTTTTCTGACTCTTAGCATTCAAAAAGAATGTAAGTAAAGCCCTCCACTATGCTACTAGCTGCCTGTCTAACCTTATTCCATTAGAGGCCGATTTTGACTACAAATCCTGATTTACACGCTGAATATTTTTTTTTACTTTATACATAGCTATTTTTTCTTGATGTATTGTAGCTTTTAATATGTGTTCTTCACGGTTGAATAACTTATTTCTAGTAAACTTTCACAAAAATATAGTGGAACATGGCATGTATATTGGTTAGTGTATAGAAGTTTAACTGAAATGAGATTTCTCAAGCCTCATATATTTGAATTATCATTTTGCAGGCCATTATGCCCTAAGACACTGTAGCAAATCAGGTGGAGAATGAAGTTGGTGCTTGGAATTAACATTCATAGTTAATCTGAAGTTTAGACCATACACTTATTCCATATTTAATTTTTAATGAATTGGAATAAAAATCAGTGGGTTTTATGGCTTCTGTATATTCAGATTTCCCGAGTGTCTTCTCTGGTGCAGCAGTCTTCAGGACCCTCATTAGGAAATGTACAGCCTTCATCATACTCATATTGAGAAGCAAAATTTAAAGGAATAGTTTTCGCACTCCAAAAGCCTCAGTTTCTCTCTTCCCAGCTAAAAATAAGTAGAGGAAAAGTACTTCCTAGATTTGTCACTAGGAATCTCTTCTTGTGTTAAACTAAACCTTTCTTACAACTCCATGTAATTTTAAATAGTATTTGTTCTGCAGGAGAAAAAATGTGTTTGCAGTACTTCTCGTGTTTTCCCTTCATCAGTTGCACAATAATTTTTTTGTACTTTGGAAAAAGTCTCTACCCAGAAAGGAGAATTTATAAACCCTTCAATAAAACTGCTCTCAGGCGATGTAATTGCCTTGAAACTCAGTAAATGGAGTTAACTGAAATCTTAATTTCTGATGGACAATTTTGTGGCTCTACAAATTTTAGCAAGGTTCTACTACCATTTGCAGATCTATTGACACTATTTATTGACCATCTGTTTGGGTCCTTCTAAGAGAAGAGTGAATCTGGTGAATCTAGGTATCTTTGTAGTAAGATGGTCTGCTAGCGACACTTTTGGAAAATAACTTTCTAGTCTCACTATGCATTCCTTCTATTTTTATCTGTCTTTTTGCCACTTACAGAAGATGGGGGAATATAGGAGTCCCTGAGAGGAGCTTCTTGTAAGGAGACTTCAGGGAGTTGCCTGTTCAAGTGGGGAAGAAGGCCACGTGGCTAATTATAGAGACTATTTTGAGAAGAGTTACGGGAAGATGTTTTGAAGCGCTAAGGAGCTAAGGAAAGCTGTCTTTGTCAGTTTCGTCTGGGTACTTGGCCTGAAACTTACGGGAGCAGTAAGCTCAGATTGAATGTTTGGTAAAGAGAGACTTGAATCCCTGTACAGTCTTCTCCTCCCAAGAGGTGGAAAGCCTCTGGAGACTTTTCTGGAAGCTTGAAAAATCCATTGACTAGAGAACAGGGGAGGTGTAGAAGAGCGGCATGAAGAAGAGTCACTGTGCCATTCAGTGCAAGGTTATCCAAGAGCCTTGGCCAAGAGAAGACAAGTATTGTCAGTAAATACTGTTTTCCAAGGGAGTTTCCAATGATGGTGCTACCAGGGCATCTGGGGAGTATGAATATGCAGAGGCATATGATTTTGATTATTAAAGTAGTTTTAGTTTCACAAGGTAAAGCTGGTATGAAAGAGCAAATGTCCGTCTGAGGACTAATGACTGTTTTCAAAATCAGAATAGTATATGCAGTCAACAGACCAATACCAAAATGTATTTATTCATGTAAGACTTGTTGCAGTACCTTAGTCAAGTGATACGTATTTCGAACTTTTTTCTTTTTTTTACTTGGAAAAATTTGAAACTTCATAAAAAAACCCAAAAACTTTGAATTTGCTGGGTTTTGATGCCTTGTGGTAGATGTTTCACTATGATCATCTTTTTTCATGGGTCTTTGTCACTTTTTCAAGATAGGTTTCTTTCATTTATCAGGGTGCACATGGAGGGTTTTCCTTTTCTTCTTTGATGCAGTCTCTTTGTTTTGTTTTGTTCTTACAACGACAAAAGTCTATGGTGACAAAAGGGTAATGTCTACTGCTTTCTTTCTATTACCCGTGCCAATGTTGCAGAGGACAGGTTTGCAGGGTAATGAAGCTCAAAACCAAACGACTATCACTTCTGTCCTTGAGCTCATGTTACCTGTTTGATTGCCTACAGTGGCACGGGTGGACTTCAAGGCTTCTTTCAAGCCTCCATTTCTTTAAGTGAGGACTGTTCACGTTCTTGAATGTCAGGTGTTATTGGAATGCATTGATGATGTAGACAGCATTGCAATAGCAAGAAAACCCAGTCAAACAGTCAAATCTCTGTCTCTGTGTAAATTTTTATTTGTACTGTAACAGTAATGGCTGGGGGGGGGGGGAAAAAAAAAAATAATGGTTTTCCACAGGTGTTTATCTTGACTCCCAGCTTCTCTTCCTACCAACAGATCTGTTGTGTGGCAAACTCAATGAAAACCTACAAATTTTCATAAGCTGTGCACCTTTGTTGTTTTTCTAGACACATGAACATTTGTATTACTTTATTTACATGTAATTCTGCATGTTAACTGCTGATTGCATGCTGATTTACAGTAAATAAAGGTAAATAGGGGTCACTGAGTTGTGTTGTATACATCACAGTGGTACTATTCTTGCATGGATTTATCTTGCATGACAATGGAATATGTTTGTATTAGTCTATGTATAACATGTCCTGTGGTTTATGCATGCTGCACTAATCTCTGTGTTAAATCTGTCCCCTCTTTATTCAGAGCATGCTGTCTAGGTCCTTTAATTCCAATTATGCTGCAGTTAGCAGCTTTCACTATGGCAGCTCTAGGGATCTGCATGGCAGCCAGGGTAGTGTTGCCTTGAGTGTTGCAGACGGAAGAGGTTCTGGTGTGCACATTGTTCGAGTGAGTACCTACAGGAGGCTATTGCAATATATAGAGGGGGAAAGAATAAACTGTGAGAGGTGTCCATAAATTGACAGAGTTATCCTTTTACATATGGCCAATGCTTTCAATAAAAAGAATATCATTTGTGTGCTGGAATTTTTTTTACAGGCATTAAGTCAAATACTTTGCCTTCACTTCATATGCCTTAAACTTATTGCAAGGCTGTTCAATTTAATGTCATGAAGTTGAGTTTTCTAACTGGCTTTTATAGATGGTTGAACATATGTAAAACTGTCTGGTTTCATTGTACATATGTGAACAAGAGATTACCATTCTGAATTTAACCTAGATTGATAAAGGCTTGAACAAAATATTATTATGCTTTTTCCTCCCTCAAACAAATTCTGATCATGGAAACTGTACTGTAAGATACTTCAGGCATTCAAGAAAATTAATATTTTACTTTGTAAGAAAATGTGAGGAAATTACTCTTTAACTGTTAGCGTCCTGAGTGATGTTACAGTATCCATAGTGAGCAGGATAAAGTCAACAGCAGGCTTCTTTTAACCATATGAATCCTTGAATAGGCAGTCCTTAGCATTTGTTGACTTTTCTATCAGTTTATTGGTGATCAAGACACCTCTTCAGTTCCTAGTTTTTGTAAATATCTATCAATATTTTATGGGTAATGTCTCGGCTAGTAAGATTTTCTGCATAAATAATGTACTAGTTAATCAAAGATGATAAAGGCCTTAAAATGTTTTATTGTGGGCTTCTTAGGAGAATTTTTTAGTTTGAATTATATGAAGACAGTCATCTTTACTGCTCCATTCTATTTAAAGCATCCCCAGGCTTCTACTTCAGGAGACCAGTGCCAGGATGAAGTATTCATTTCAGCACAGCAGAATTACTCATCTGCCACACATAGTCTCAAAGATGTTCCTCCAGACAGTATGAAGAAAATAGCTGTGCAGGTAATTATCTATATGACACTGTGGGTAGGATGTATTTATTATTATTTGTAAGGATATCGGTTTTTATTAGTTGTAGAAACATATGCTGGTATAGCAGTTGGAACTGGGGCTTCTTTAAAATGTAATTCCCAGGTATCAGAGGTGGCATAAATGAAGTAGCATCCTCCTTTTGGAAGACAAAATAATTAACTGTATGAAGGGGAATAGTTCTCATTTTTCTGCAGCAGGAGCTTTGAAAGAAGAAATTTGCAGCAAAAGATGTAATTACAAGTGGAAATTGGAATATGAGAGATGAGTTCAGGAAAGCAGTCTGAAGCTGATTAAACCTTTTAAAGACCAAACTTGAAATCTGTTGTGATGAAATGCTGATGATAAACTAGAATTTGTAGGAGACATTTGGTATTCATCTCTAAAGACCTGTACAGGCAGGGCTTACTGCGGTGAAACTAAATGGATGCTTATAAATTACTACAATGCAGCAACTGATTATCTTTTTATAACTTCAGCAATTTCACTTGCATTTCTACAGACATTGGTTATAGGGAATTTGCATAGCTGTCCATACATGTTGCCTATGTAAACTCCACCTCTGACAGTGCAACAAAAAATAGTTTTTCTGTCATGCTGTATGTTTTCAGAAAATTATGTAAATTGAATACATCCAATCTGTAAATAAGCTAAAAAAATGTATACATACACACATTACCATTTCACAGAATCACTTTTGACACTAAAAAACTCCTCTTAACAGAATAGGTTCTGATATGTGTCCATTCACATAGCATGGTTAAAGGTTGAGATTTGCACACTTCATTTATTTATAATACTGAGAGAGAGTATTTTAACATCCTTGTATTCTATAACTAGTGAGATAATGGTGGCAGGCAGAAAAAAATCTGTAACCCAAGTCTGTAGCATTTTTGGAATGTGGCAGTCATACAGATGGATGAGTGACTGCGTAGGCTACATAAGAGTGCGAGGTATGCAGGTGAGCAGGGAGAAGGCTGCCCATCTCAACACAGGGCTGCAGAGCTGAACAGTAACAGAGGCTTCAGTAAGGAATGTCATCTCCAGCATGTTTCTTGGTGACATGGTTTGAATGCACTATATGTCTTGACCGTTGTGTGCCTTACTGCTGTTTGTCGTCATTATACCTATCAAATCAGTGACAGATGTGTCAACAAAAGAAAAACACTTATTGGACACGTCATTACAGTTTTGATACTAAAATCTGGAACTTGTACGTGAATTTGCTGAGAAGATTTTCTTGTGAAGTGGTCACTAAAAGATGCTTAGAAAGCATATAATTCCTGTCTGATAGCTGTCTGGGAGTTCTATTTTGTGTATGATCTACTGGGAATTGTTACAAAATCTCTGAATTTTATGCAATAGAAGTGCAGACTATAATGATATCTACCAAGTGTCAATACTGTCAGTTGCACTGCTAGAAAATAATGGTTGGGATAACTCAGGGGAAACAAGTGCTAAAAGCAAAGACTGTCTAGTCTGTTCTGGTAGATTAGCACTCAAAGTTAAGTTTTGTTTTTCAGATTTCTTCTCAGGAGATCAGAGCTGATGACTATAAGGAATATTGAGTGTAATAGTACATGATCCAGAAGAGTAGTTTTAGTAATGTTCCTAAAATTACAAGCAGTCAAGTAGGAAAAATATTGAAATAATAAAGGAGGAATTAAGGATTGCTGCTTATAAAATTTATGACGTAAAGTGTTCATGTTTTATTCAGATACCTTTGACAAATGGACAAATGTGCCAGCCTCAAAGACCTCAGGCAAACTACAGCCAAGTCCATCATCTCCCTCCTCAATCATCAGTAGCAAGACATCCATCTAGAGAGCAATTAATTGATTATCTGATGTTGAAAGTTGCCCACCAACCTCCCTATACCCAGTCCCAGTGCTCTACCAGACAAAGCCACGAATTGGCAAAGCAAGAGGTAAGAATAAAATCTAACTGGACAATATGACATCTGTTTGTCAGTGGCAGTGAATTGTTAGATTGTTTTCTGTTGTTGCCATTTCTCTGTAGGCGGTGACAGAAATCATATAGGAATTTATCTCCAGCAAAAGACAGAGTTCTCTCAGTGCAATTTCACTACTGAAATCACACATTCCTTCTCATTTTGAGCTCTTTTTACCTTTTATGTGAAAAGTTTTTATCACTCTTTATTATGAGAGAGAAATGTGGTAGATCTTTAACAGAATGTACCAGAAACTTAAAACTTACATCTTTTTACTGAGCTAGAAATTTATTTCTCAACTACGCTTACTGATCACCAACTCATTATTTATCTAGAAACTGAAAAAATACAAAGTAGCAGTACAGCTTAGACTACTTTGCATCTATTCATTGCTATCCAGAATGGTTCAAAAACCTGCAAATGTAGAAATGTGCATCCATAAATAAAAGCCAGGATAAAAAAAAGTGTGAGCATCTGATGCATGCCTGATAACTATCAGTTTTATTTATGATAGACAGATATGGATTAGAAATTCTTACACAATTTAATGGCAACTTTCTTTCTGCTTTTGGACACAGGATGGTTCCTCTGTATTTTTTTGGGTGTTATGAGAAAATAATGAAAACTACGTTTTCATTCTGTACTAGAATGAGAATATCCAGTTCTTGTGTAAGATAAGTTTTCTAGTTAACTATTCCAGCAAGAGAAAGGGGAGACAGCCTTGGCTACACAGAACTTAGAGTGAAAGTAGGAACAAGGTTTGATTTTTAAAATTCACCTGAAGGTAACAAAGAAATAGGAGGAACAGGTTCTTTCATTGGAACGTGTATATTTTCTGGGAGCATTAAATTCATTTACATAGTATCAAAGTATCTCTGAATTTAAAGCCCACATGGACTATGATTATAATAATAGTGATATTGGAGTAAAACTTATGTAGAATATGTGATGCTGTTTTATTGGAATTAATAACACAAGATATAATACTCTTTTGAACTGTGATAAATGTGGGTTTTGAGTTTTTTTCTTTTCAAAGCTTCACCTGAATTCCTCAGTAATAATGTCATTACAGTAGCTTTGAATGCAGATTTTCAGCCAGTTCATCTAACTTTGGTTCTAACTACTTAGATTCGAGTGAGAATTGACAAGGATCCAGAACTTGGATTTAGTATATCAGGAGGAGTTGGTGGTAGAGGTAATCCATTCAGACCTGAAGATGATGTGAGTATTTTATACTAATGCATCTTAAAATCATTTTGATTGATAGTATTTCTAGTGCTTAGCAAGGGGGGTGGGGGGGGGGGCCGGCGGCAGAATGGGGACAAATGATATGGAAAATCGAGGTTGTAGGTGACCGCAGTGCTCATGTGACAACACAGAGGATTATTCTAGCTAAGTGGTGTCTTGCACAGTTCCAGATATTATTCAGCAGATTTGAGATAGTGAATTATGGAGTTTATAATTAGGAAGCTTCTTAAAAGAGAACATGATTTAGCCTACGGCCTTGTTTCTGGTGGTTGATAGTTCACCTTGATGTATGCAGCTGCCAAATTAAAGGCAGATCAGAATTTGCCCTTCAGTACTCCTTTAAAGGCAGTTCTCTTGGATTTAACATCAGAGAAGGAAAGCAGTCACAAAAGCCAGTAGACCTGTACAATAATACAGCATTCTCTTCTACTTAGGATGGAAGATTGAAAATATGTTTTGAATTACATGTTTCTTGCTACCCTATTATTAACGAGATAAGTTGTCAAAAAATGTTTTCTGTGTCTGTTTTTCAAGGGTATATTTGTAACCAGAGTGCAACCAGAAGGACCAGCATCTAAGCTGTTGCAACCTGGAGATAAAATAATTCAGGTACTGTGGTCATATAATTAACAGCCCATACCAGTTCATTTTTATGGTGCGCTTTTTCTGAGAGCAGAATCTTTAGTTTTTAAGTAGATTACAAGTACCTTTTCCAGAACCATTCTTACATTCTGGGATGATGCTTTTAATTTCCTTCCACCTAACATGAAAATAGATGATGTAGGCTGAAGCGTTAATAAGTTGCATCATTTTTTTGAATTCTGGATGTTTTTCACACTCTTAAAGACAAAAAAACAGGCCTAATGTTGTCATTCAGGATGAAATGTGAGTGTTTCACAAGCTTTACTGTCACTCAGTTGTGTAACTTGTGTCCTGAGAAACAAGTTCTCTGAACACCAGCCATTGCCCCTCACACCTGCTCTCCTGTTACACCAGCCTCTGTCTCCGTCCTGCGGTTCCTGCGTGTCCTGGCTGCCTCCGCGCCAGCCGACGGGCGATGGCAGGAGCTGCTTCCAGGCTGGCTGGCCCCTGCCTGGCCATGGCACCCACCTCCAGGCTGGGGGGGAGCAGGGGGGGGGGCGGCAGCAGCCGTGGCTTCAGGGCTGCAGCTGTGCAGGGGCTGCCTTCCAGGCTGCTTCTGCATCAGATTTGTCTGAAGCTGTCTAGTGAGCTCATAAGATATTTGGGCAGGGGTCAGGGAAATGGACAGCAGGGTTATGTAAGCCATACTTTCTTAGGGAAATGGGCTAACGAGGCATTTGGACAAGCACTGTAGCCACCCTTAAAGTTGCAAAGCTTGTTAAAAATTAATTCACTGGCTTGAGAATGTTGATAGAGTTGACTCTATTGCATTGCAGTTTTCTGAAAAAAAACAAAAAACAAAAAAACAAAAAAACAACAACAAAAAACACCAGCCACCCACAACATCATGTGAACGGTTTTGTAAAACAAACTGAAAACACGGCATAATCTTTTGAGTGAAATATAAAGCCCAAAGGCACACAGGAAAACTAAATGGAGGTAAAGTTGTTCTGACTAGAAGATGGCTTGGTTTTGAGCACAGTACGTAATTCTGTACTTGTTTTTCCTCACTGGACCAAGAACGGTCCTACTTCTCTTACTGATGTAGACAAGGGATGGGCGTAACCCTCCAACACACTATACAGGAGCAGAAAGCATGTTAAACCTTTGAAAATACTGGTAGCATGTTTTTTACTTATTGATATTCCTGTCCTTACAGAATTTTGTCTGTGACATTTATAATGAAGTTTCCTTTTGTCATGTTGGCTCTGTTTGGGCTTTGCTTTTTGTTTGATGAGGAATTCATAGTTTGAAAAGGAGCTGAAGGAGAAGTTGTATTTGCATGCTAAGACAATTAGAGGCTGTTTCATTTCTCATAACTGAGAATATTTTTTTGTGTAACAGCACATTCTTTATGCATGTGATAATGCCGATGATGATGTAATGATAGTCCCACTCTGTCTTGTTGCCGCTTGGACAGGTTCTGCAGTTTTTGACTGAATATCATCTCTCCCAAAGTGACTTTGCTATGCTTGATTTTGCAATGTTCTCGGTAAAACATGCATTAGGCATGCATATTATCACGTGTGTCTAATACATATGTCTAATAAAAATATTCTTCGTGACCAGTGACTAGATAATTGCATGTAAGTCTTAAGATACTGTTGTGTGTTGGGTTAGGTCTAGGACATTCTGTGCAGACGATGATTTGGAAGGGTTATTGCCACTTTGGCTCTCTCGACAGTCTGTACCGAAAACTTTCTCTGCAATGCTAGACAGATGTAAAAACCACTGCCTTTACTACAAAGGATTCAGTAGGTAGCAACATCAGGTGTCCACTGATGGGATAAGAAACTGCACCTCCAAAACGGCACAACTGAAGCGCAGAGCGTGCGACTAGTTCTGTCTGTTGCCATGTAAGGGGGAGCAGCTCAGGGAGAAAGGTGGGATGACAGCTGGCAGTAGTAACAATTTAAACTGGATGAATCTGTCATGGCATTCTGCAAGATTTTACTACCCAGGCTGAACATGAATTTGCAGTAGTACACCCTGAGAAGCTGAACCACAGCCATGTTTTCCCTGTCTTGTGTAGACCACTTAGGCCTGCCTCTGTTTGCCAAGCCAAACCTGTTCCAAGAATGACAATGTTGAGTCATAGGAAAATTCAAGCTGGAGGTGACCTCAGGAAGTGTCACACCCAAAAATGGCTCCCAGTGTTTTTTGTTAAAGACTTCGATAGTTTGAATTTATCACAAATGCCATTTCTAATATTCTAATATTTAAACTGGAATGTATCATCTGTACTGCATTTGCTTTTTTTGGCATGACCAGTGAATTAGTCTGATGTTAATGGCTTAAAGTTCAGTTTTCTCTTTTGCTTATTTGCAATACCTTTGGGGCAAAATTATTTCAAGGCTAACACAGTAGTTTAATTTCTTGTAGCATCCAGGTACATGTTCAACTCACATCAACAATGTAGTCTGCAAATCTGTAGTGTTTCATTGTCTACATTCATATAGCATTTGGTTATTTTGAACTGTAAGCTTAAATAAAATGACATGAAATATGAGACATGTTTCATTACCATGGCATATGAGACTCATTTTCTGTTTTTTTTTTTTTTTTCAGGCTAATGGATACAGCTTCATCAATATTGATCATGGACAAGCAGTATCTTTGCTAAAGACTTTTCAGAATGCAGTGGAACTCATCATTGTGCGAGAAGTTTCTTCGTAAATACTGTGGATTGGGGGGAAAAGCCAGCAGGATTGATTGAAGGACTTGTGGGAAACTGAATATTTTGCTTATTTTTATACGTGAAAGGAACTCAAAAAGAGTTATGATCAAAATTTGTACAGGAAATACTGAACTTGTGGTTAAAGGGGGAAAAAACCACTGTGTAGAACATACAGGAGATCATTCTGGAAATGCATATGGTCAATAAACTTGTTTTGAAGCATTATAGCAATCTAAGGATCACTCCTCCAAGAACAAACCTGTGTTGTTTTTTTGTACAGATGGTAGGTTTATTTTTGGATAATTCATACACATTACTAAACTTTGAGCAAGGCTTTGCAAAGCCTTGGTTGTAGCCAGTGGACAGATGGCAGGGTTGTCTGTCCTGTAGCTGTTAATTGCCTTTCTTTTTTTTCACCAGATATTAATATGTTACGCTGAAACCACTTCTGTAGATATGGACAGGAGATACGAAATGTTGGCTTTGCTATGTGCACATTGTATGGGTGAATGGGTAGATGGAAGGTGGTGCTGGTTGGACAGAATAAAGATCGGGTGAAACAACGATGCTATCTAAATCTGGACTCAGGAAAGAAGAAGCAGCGTTTAGTTCTGGAGTGTACGTCTACCAATAGAAAATGCAGAAAAAGCTTATGGTGTTTTTTAGGAAGACTGTAACAACAAATTTGTGAAATTCTACAGGATTTGTTCTTAGTGTAGTCATTGAATATTCATTTGCCACACGTGATTTATGTTTAGTTGGGTTTTTTTGCATACAGAATTTTTTCAGTTGTACTGTGGAAACGTGCCCAGAGGTTTTTCTCTGCCGTGGAAATCCCCAGTTTTGTGCAAATGGTGATACTGTTACCTTTATTATAAAGTACTCCATTTTAACCTTATAGACTTTGAAAATGAAACTGAAATGGCCAGTTTTTAAGGTTGTTGCCTGTATTACATATTTAAACACACAAAGTAAATGATGCAGAAAAGGTTATGAAAGACGTCTCAATTTTGTTTGGCCTTTGCATTGCCTTGTTAATCAAAAAGGAGAGTATACGCATGGAGCTAGGTAACCAAAGCAAGTTTGTGAAACTTTGAACAGTGATGGAGGATTGTTGTGGTGAGATGGAGAGCAAAGGGAGGGTGTAGTTACAACCCAACAGTTTGTAATGATGTTTTTTAAAGGGCTGTTCCTACAGGTAACATTAAATGTGAACTAGACACTTCAGAGTCATTAAAGGGTTTCTAACTATGTTAATATAATAGTGATTTACCACAGGCTGCCTTTGTTCCTTATTACTGTATAAAGTATTCAATTATGCTTCTATTAATTTTGTTTACCAGAAACATTAACTTTATTTTTCTCTTTCTCCTTTGTAATTGAATAGAAACTGCATAATCTGCAGTGATAATTAATACACGGTTGTTATGGACCAGGAAAAAGTGCCATAGAAGACCAATAACTGTTTTTAATCAGGGCTAATGATTAGCCTGTCATTGGAGCAATATTCAGTTATTGCAGTTCATTTTTACTGACATATAAGTTGGTAGTTTGAGTTGGTAGTTGCTTTTTTCAACCCATGTGTACAGAAGTAAATGCTTTTAATAAGGCTAGGAAAAACACCAGCCTCCTTTAGTTTTGGGACAATGAGCAGGAAGAGAGAGGAATTATACATAGCTAGCGGTAATAAACAGGCAGTACTTTTTAAATAAGTGAACTCCAATATTATTGCACTTCTTTCAAAGATGTTAACTATTGCTTATTGTACTGTGTATAGTTCTAATAATTGTAATTGAAACCCTTTAACAACTCTTTGTATATTTTAATTCTTTTTAGTTGATTTTCAGTAATATTTACATAGTAAATGATTTTTTTGATATATTAGCAGAAATGTGCTGTATTTTGATAAAATTCACTTATTTTCTGTGTGCTGTTAATCTTCAAAGAAAAGAATGAGAAATATAGCTATATAATGGCAGGCTTCAGTGTTCGCTTTCTGAGATGTGTTTTGTTGTTTAGTTTCTATTTTTTTATTGAAAATGCATAATGTTCACATGTCCATTACTTTTAATCATGTTATTTTTATCACACACTGCCTTTTAAAGGGGATAAATACAGAAAAGTCTGAAATTACCTTGATCTTCTACATAACCTATATCTTTTGGAAGGGAAAAGTCCAAAATGCAGAACTGATTCTTTACTGATCTTGGACTGACTTTGTATACATTTTGCAGTACATTTAGATATATCACTGTGGAATTATACTGTATTGTATTTTGCTTTAATGGTAACAGCAGTTTTGAATGTTGTTGTGTCACTTAATTTTCAGATGTATGTGTCACAGGAAAATTCTACCAAAATGTATTTGGCTATGGTAGAACTATAGAAGTAGAGATTTATAGCAAGAAGTTTAGTACTTCTTGTGGAAATACTTGGCCAAAGCTTGTCTTCAGTAAATTAGCAAATCAACCATCTAATAAAATGTGGATTATACTGATTTTACTCAGTAAAATGTTCGAGTTTTCAGTGGATTGCAATGTGTTTGTTCCTTCAGTGACTCTGTGTAAAGGTAAACACATGTCAGACTAGATGATTTTGCAGAGAGTGGGAGAAAGATGTCTCCTGAACTAGTCCAGCTAGGATACAGCAGGAGGAGATACAATATCAGCACTTTTCATTTTGAATGCATCTTAAACTACATTTTGAATAGAATAAAATCCATCAGCAGCCGAAGTTACTGCACATAGCAGTGAGTTGATGCAGACTCTGGTAATTCTTTCTATTCTTAATAGTTCATTAAAGAGTCAGTTCGACTGATGTAATGAAAAGATGAAGTCTCCCACATATTTATTATGTAAATACTTTTTTAGTTTCTTTTTTGGACTGGAGTTAAAAAATGTGTATATACTTGAAAGCACTCTATGAACACAAACATAGCAATAAACAACACACAGAATTCAAACCTTTATGATTTTTTTGGTTTTGTTTAGAAACACTCCCTTGTCAACAGCTATGAAATGTTTTTATTGATCAGCATTTATTCAACATTCCAAATTTTTGTATATAATTAGACTGTTTCTGAGGTAACACATGGAGAATAGATAATAAACTAATGCTCTTTAAAGCTGTGTGTAGTTGACTTATTTAAGTTCTAGGGAATTCTGTAATGCAGGTAAATGCAGGTTTACATCCAGTTTTCTTGGAGACCACCTGACAATGTAGTAACATTTTTCGTTGTATATGTGGATCTGCCCTATCAGTGTCACTACTTAACTTCCCACCTCTGCATGGAAGACTGATTCTAACTATAACATGGTACAGCCCTGATGACCATGGAGTGTTGGACCACATTTAAGTTTCTCTGTATCTGCTCGCTACCTGGACTTTGGATTTTTTCACCCTCCGTATTTTCCTTGTGAGCTCTCTTTTTGAAGATGTTTTTGTTGTCTTTTCTGCCTTTTATGCATCAGACTTCAAATTTATTCTTTCCCATTTCACAGATATTATTTATTAGGTAAGCCTTATTCCTGTGCAACTGAGCCTTTGGTCTCTCACTTTATTTCATAACTCAACAGTTTACTTTTTCCTCAAGCACCTGAGAATGCTGGAGCCAACTCATGCTTTTCTGACTGGAGGCACTTTTTCAGAGAGAAAGTGTATTCTTGGTATGTTATTTCTGTTGCCTTGGATTAAAATCAATTTTGCAGTGTGTCCAGAAAGACTCTGTTGCAGCATCTGTGACATTGCCTCGAAACTGGGAGTTTTACTACCCGAAATGCTACAACTGCACAATACAATTGCCTCTGTCTAAAAGTGGTTTTATTATATTAAAAACTGAGGTAGCCAAAGTAAAAGAAGTGAAAATTTCTATTAAAGATCATACACTGGTCAACTGAAGTCAGCAGGAAAAAAATCCTCAGACCTAATGATTGTTGGTTCAATGCCTTGCTTAGGCAGTATGCTACCTATAGTCCTGCAGCGTTGATGAATTCTTGGCTGAAGTGTATAGAATTTGGCTAGAAATTGATTATTTTCTGTAGTGTCTAAATCCATCTTTGCCAGTTTTACATGATTCTACAATTTCTCACAGTCTGTGTAACTGGAGCCATATTTTGTCGTGAACAAGGACACAAGTTTTCCCTATGGCATGTATTAAAAAACAAAAAGATCAAGCAACATGAGAAACACATTTCTCAAAATCTTCCTGTATTCAATTTTTGCTACTCAGTTGAGTGTAGCTGTTTTTAGCAATTTTTCAAGTTACAGTATCAAATAATTTCTGCTCTTCTGCCATCAAGAATTACTTTTCCCAGAGGCCCACCTGTATAAGTCAATTTAAAAAAATGTTTGAGTGCCTTAGAGTAGATCACTTGTTCTGACTGCTCTTACACAGAAAATGAAGTACTAGATCACTCTGCATAGTTTTTATTTAAAAAGACAAATCTGCATCTGCCCACCAAAACCAAATGTTGGAACATTTGTTCCAACCAGAACAAGTATACTTTCTAAAATAAACTTTCCTCTTATTAAAGAAACAAAGTATTGCAGAAGATTGTTGTTTTGGGTCAGAGGCTTCCTCATGAATGGCTGATACTGTATCTAAAAAAGCCTTTCATCAGTTACAGGTTTTGGTTCTTCCTTTGGAAAACTGTGAGTCTAAGAATCTATTTTACAAGGTGAAAAAACAAAGACAAATCATGACTGCAATAACTGATCTAATTTAGATAGTTTAATGTAAATAACTTCTGTCTTTATCCTGTTATTGCTCTTTAAATTATGCTTGGACCTAGAGTTCCTTGAATGCTTTTTCTGCCAGAATTGCTCTACCTATAACAGCACTGTATCAAACAATGCTGGCCCCAAGTGCCTCTGCGCTTGGAGAATCTCAGGTCATCCAAGTGCTCTATTTATTGTTTTTTCGGGGCTTTTTAGTGTGCTTTCACTCTTCACAAGAGGATAAACCTGTGAGTTTCTAAACTGCCTTCAACGCAAGTCAAAAACCAACTCACACTTTGAACGATTGGCTAATGCCAGATGAAGGTCAAGTTCTGCATTACGACTTGAATTTGAAAGTAAACATACAAAAAGAAAACCTTACCTTACGCCACAACAGGTCATTTTGGAAAAAACTGGGTTTATCTTGACTCACTCCACAGAATTGCTTCTTAAGTGACCTATATTCTCACTCTACTTGAGAAATCTTAGGAGTATGTTCGCATTTCTCAGTAATGAATGAACCTGATGTGCTGTTCCACTAAAGCATTGATGCTTACTTATCACAGCAAAGGTCATTTAGGTAGTTCTTGCTAGGAATTCTGTAGGAATTTATAATTTTATACTTGAACTGACAGCTACTAAATATTACTGTTTCACTAAGCAGAATGATCTCCAATGTACGGAAGTATTACTGCAACAAGCTGATAGAAGCATTATGTATCTGTGAGGCAGTTGCTTCTAGTCTTGGGAACCCACTGTTTTTAATTCATTTTCTTATTCATCCTCAACAAGTAAGCAATAAAATATGTGATTTAATTTTCTGTGACATGACTCCATCTCATTCTTCTTACAATTATGAAGATTATGAAGA